TGAACACGTGATTCGTGACACCTAGCTAGGCTTATAGGCTTAAAAGAAAGCGCTTGATTAACTCTATATAATACGTATCTACGAGCTAAATACTATTATAGTACATTACGTTATTACGAAGTATTTAGTTATATACCGGTAGAACTATTAGTACTCTTATAGTTTCTATATACCTAGGAGTAAATACTTTACAATAACTTAATATACTATAGTTAGATTTAGCTCGCGGATTAGTATTTTATATAGCTAATTAAGGGCTTTCTTTTAAGCTTATATAGAAGTTAGTAGAATAAGAATTAACTTTAATATATTTAAGTTCAAGGGAGTAAAATCGCGTTTATTGCTTAGTTAAAAAGGGTTTTTTACTCTTTATTAACTATTCTATTAAACTACCTCCTATTCTAATAAGCTCTAGGTACTTTATAGAGTATATTTAGCTTTATAAATCCTAGTTTACTATATCTTAATAAGTAGTATAGTTACGAAATAGAACTAAAAGAGCTATAAGCTAAATTCTATTGAAAGAAAGTAAAAATAGCTATTTTTAGCTTTACGAACCTTATTTATTATCTTAGACCTAGAGAGTACTTATAAAAATAATATAGATTATAAATTTAATATCGAAAGTACTAGCTAAAGTATTGGGTTGAAAGGGTATTGGGTACTGAAGGTCATGGAGAATTGATTGCATTGTAAAAGGTAGCTATCTAAGGTGTTTATATAAAGAGTGTAAGCTTTAGGCAGACATGAAGCATTTAGGCAGCAGAGCTATAAGTGGATCAAATCAGGAAGTGGAGCAAAAGAGAAAGTAGACCCAGCACAACATAAAGTATACCCGAATAGTACTTATCTTATAGTAGTAGCGTATTAGGGCTTTAGATTCTTTATTAAAAAGTTAATTTAGAGCCTATAGTCTAAATAATTACTATTTTCCCTTAGACGCTTAAATAAAGGCTAGAGGTAGGTAGGCCTCGGAGTAGTAGTAGACTAGGGGTAGGGTTAGTGTAAACGTGTGGAGTAAACCACTACTTGCTGTGATAAGATACGGAGTCAAGTGTAAACTGCTATATTGAGCGAATAACAAAGTAAGGGAAGAAGAGAGTTCCAGAGGAACGGAAGCTTATATACAAGATTTGAGCAACACGCATGTGCCGTGCTACACGTGATCTACCCCTTGTCCCTCCAACTCCGTAACAGTTAGTATAAGGGGTTAGGGTAGAAGCAAGTAGGTTATATAGGGGGAGGAGTAAAAGCCTACTACTAAAAGCCTTTATAAAGAGGGTCTAGGTACTAAGATAACTAAAGATATTACAAATACTATTAACAGCTATCTAAATCTCTTATAGCTAGTAATAAAGCCTTTTAGAGTCTATAGTATTTATTTCTTAAACCTTTTATAAATATTAGTTTTCTACTTAGCTACTAAATTAAACTTAGGAATATATATAGAGGCTATAGGTTTATCTTACGAGAGAACTAGTCTACTTTAGTTTATTATCTTTAGTAAGGTTAATACTTAGAGGTATAGTTATTTCTTAGGTATAAGACGTTATCTTTATAGAAAGGAGACTATATCTAGGAATATAATATAGTCTACTAGTAAACTAAATAGTTTCTTCTACTTTTACTACTAAATTAATACATATTATTTTTTAGTAATACAAATTGTTGGTACGACCTGGTAGTCGTAACGACGGCGAATACGGGATTCTGATCACCCTCTGTTGGGGTAACTAAATCGGTGTATTCATTTGTTCGTGAAGAGTAAAGGTAGAGAGAGGTGGTACTCTACGAGCTTGAGTATGTGAGTGGCAAGCCACTCACATGACACCAAGCATGTAGAACCACCAGGCTCTCGTACGAGGTGCTAATCACTATAATTATATACCGACATAAATAGACTACCTTATCTTAGTTTTACCTTAGAGAATAGTACCCTTCCTTCTATCTTAGTACCTTCTTCGCTAGCTCTAGCGCTAGCGCTAGCGCTAGTCGAAGGTTTAATAGTACCTCTACCTCGGCCTTATAAGAGAGTTTCTATTAGTAGAAGGGTAGCTTATTCTTAAGTAAGAGTTTTAGTAAGTAGAAGAGTATTACTTCCTCCTAGTTCTAAGGTTACTGTGAGAGGCCAGACCTCGAATAGCTCAAAGGTGTGGTTTCGAATATTCAATTAAGAAGTGCGTGAAGACTACATACATGCAATCTCTTCCTCTATATATAGAGAGAGGAAGAGTTTCTGGAGTCTTCCAAGAAACTGTTTGACAAATACGTGACGTCAAAAGAATAGAGTAGAAAAGTGTAGAAAAGGAGAAACCAATTTAGCAGTGGGGCAATGGCCAATGCTGAGCGGGGACTTTGGTCAGTGCTTAGCGAGGACATGGCCCGAGCCTCCATCATGGGTTCCAACCCTCACAGTTACCTTTAGTTAGAGAACCTATAGTTATAGTTATAGACGTACTTCTCGAACATCTACTAGAGGTATAATACCTTATTATAATAGAATAGCTACTTTATTACTTTAGATACCTTTAGAGGAGAGTAATATAAATAAATAGTATAATCTTTTTAGATAGTTAGAAAAACTTCTGGACTAAATAGTAGACTTTATTTTATAGATAAAATAAGTATAAAAATTAGAATTTATCTTATAAGAACTCTTTAGATTATTTATAAATTCTAACTTCTAAATTATTATTAGAATTTTTATTAATTAATAAAGTACTTCCTTTAGTTAACTAAGCTCTTATATTAATATCTTCTCCTTTAATAGAGCTCTTTTTATTACTCTTACTCTTATCCTTTAAATCTAAGCTTTAGTATAAATATAATAATACTTTATTTTACTAGCGATTATTTCTACTTTTATTACTAAGGTATATTTTAAATTTATTCTTATTAACCTTCCTAGCTTCTTTTAAACTATCTACTATTATATTATAAGAAGGCTACTAATTATATAATCCCTCTAGTTTATTTAAAAGGCTTAATCCTACTTTATTACTATTCTAAATTGTAACGAATACTCAAACTGGCTAACTAAACTTGGCTGGGTGTTCGCTGGTTGGTATGCTATGATAAGAAGAAGACTATCGGGTTGTTCACTTGGAAGTGAACTCGTTACTTGTATCAAAGATGTCAAACTAATATGATAAGATTGATAACTAAGTTGAGCACGAAGCTCCTATCTATCTAATGGCAGACGTGCCAGTCTTATATAGAACCTTCGTTTTCTATGGATCATATGGATCACCATGATCCATCTGATCCGGCTCACACTGGCTCATATGATCCTCCATGATCCAAACGAGTCACGTGATGCTAACCAAAGGAAATCCCTGGATCGCTTAGCTAGTCTAAGCGTCCCTATTTTGCTATAAGAAACCTGGATGTGCCTCTTATTATGACAAGTATCACGTGAGCACGTGATTCGTGACACTAACCCTAAGCTAGTTTATAATTTACGAATTACGAATTAGTATTAAGTCTATTCGGCCTTTTAGTACAATTAGGATGCCGTACTACCACTACCTATCCTACTACCGTCCTATTATAGCATCCCGAATCTACTACTAAACTAGATGACTAAATCGTAAATCGTAAATCGTAAAAGTTATATATTTACTACTACTATACTAGAGTACCTATACCCCTACCCTCGCTCAAACTTCGTAGCCTTGAAATTTTTACGTATATACTCGCTACCCTTACTATCGTACCCTCGTTGTCGCACCCTTGCTGTCGTACCCTCGCTGTCGTACCCTTACTGTCGCACCCTCGCTTTCGTACCCTCGCTTTCGTACCCCCGCTGTCGCCTATACTCACTGTTGTATAGGGGTTGTACCCTAGTATGTTATTTAGAAGAGAGAGAGAGAGAGAGAGAGAGGGTAGCGGAGGGGGATAGAAGTCGAGTAAAGTTTTTAGTTGTACGTATTACTTATCCCTAGCCCTCAAATACTACTTTCCTAAAGAATTTAGGCTAGTACGTGTTATACTAATAATTATTTACTACTTGTCTATCCTCTCTTTCTTTTACTTTCTCTTCTCTTTCTTTATAATAACCCTTTACGACTATAATAGCGATAGTAATAGCGAAAGTAATAATAAGAAGGATTAGGGGGTATTTGTTTACTAGGAAAGGGGGGCCCGGTAGGTTATGTTATGATAAAACCTACAAGACGACCTAAGGAGCGGGGGTCGGGAGTAGGGGTATGTAGCTAGTATATACGAGATACGACTAGGGGGGAGATAAAGGAATAGAGAGGGGGAATGTTATACTAAGAGGGGGGCGTAAGAGGACACACCCGCGGACTTGTAGTCTAGAGGACTTATAATTATACTATACGAGATATTTCAGAATAACCCGAGTTTATTATCTAGGTTATACTAAGAGGGGGGCGTAAGAGGACACACCCGCGGACTTGTAGTCTAGAGGACTTATAATTATACTATACGAGATATTTCAGAATAACCCGAGTTTATTATCTAGGTAGCTCTACCTACCTAGGTAATATAAAGTGACTTTTACCATTTGCGATTTACGATTTAGTCATCTGGTTTAATAGTAGATTCGGGATGCCGTACCCATCCACTAAACCCAGAAACTACCCAACTACCCAACTACTAATTACTACCAACACAAGTAATTCCTGTAAACGACCAATTATGCACTTATCACTCTCCTCTCCTCTCATCTCACATCCACCATCTCTCCAGCACAATACAAAAATTATCCACAACACCATACGATAAGGAAAGCCAAAACGAAAAAGGAGAGACACCTAACCGGAAAAAAAAACGCCCATCATCAAGAGAGAGAGAGAGATCCACTAAAACATGCTACTAATTCAATATACACACAATCCCACCCACCCACCTAACACACAAAGAAAAAAAAAAGAGAAAATGCTTTTCACGCCCAATTTCTTATGCACCTATCCGAATCCCACACACCTTCCTATGAAAACACTTCCTTCATTGCCTCCCTTACTTTCTTTACTTTCCTACATATTCGCCAACTCAGCATCAATCATGCGATCCAGATACACCTTTCGATCCCCAACCAACTCCGTCTGCAATCTCTGCTCCACCAAAGCTCTCACCTGCTTCTTGGTTACGGTATCCAAGTCCACTTCTCTCAAACAAGCCTGGATAGCATCCACGATTGCCAAATCATCCGGACCAGCGTTACCACGTTGGAAATCAAATTGACTAGGTGTGCGAGCACCAGAGAACCCAAGAGCACTACGTGAGCGACTACCTTGCTCTGGAGACATCATAGCTGTACCAAGTGTCGCCACACTTGGGCGAGTGGCGTGCCCATGTGGATAATCCTGGTAAGGAGACGCGGAACGATCTTTAATTCCTCCAGGAGACATCAATGATTGCTGACGAGCCGCTGGGTTGTCTGTGTATTGCCCGACCGAGTAAACTGATTGGCGAAGTCCGGCATAACCTGGGGAAACAGGTGGTGCGAAATGGCTACGGCCTGGGAATCCAGTAAGGATCGTAGAGGCGGGTTTGACTGAAGAGTACATGGATTTCATGTCATCCATCTCGTATTGATCGTCATAGTTGTCATATGCCTTCTCAACTGCGACTCCACGACGACCAGGGAGATTGTTGTTAAGAGCATAATCGTCCCATCGCTGAAGAGGAATGCTTCGAGGGTCAAAACCTTCATCGGCAATTTGCACGAGCTTCTTTCCATCTTTCTCTCCAACAACAATACGGGTATTACCCCACGAGAAGTCGTCTTGAAGCCAGAAAGAGTACATTGGAAGAATGAACGAGTAGATGGGGAACGCGAGAATGTAGATAACCATCCAACCGATGTGTTGCCATTGTCGTTTGAGGATGAAGATAAGTGCCTGAAGACCGTACACGGCCGCAATCATGATGATGGAAATCAAGGGGAATGGGCCGGTATTACTGGCAACTAAATAGATGAGGTATCCCAAGTAGATGGTGGTTGCTGGAAGGATAATTGTACCGAGGAGATCAATAAACACGACGAATCGCATACTGAAACAACAGAAACCGCACATCTCCTTGATCCAGACCAATTCGGCCAAATTGTGGATGGTAGAGTTGATCCATCTACGTCTTTGGGACAAGAGTACACTCCAAGTTTCCGGTGCTGCGGTACTGGCGAACGCATCGGGAATGAATTTGTAGGACATGTATGGGAAGTGTTTTGTCATCAAAGTGGTAAGGAAACGATCTTCACCAAGAGATAAAAGATTCTTCTTGTGTAAAGTATCGACGGAGCAGTCGGAGTAGGCATGAACGATTGCATCAGCAATAATAAGAGGCTTTCCCTTGTCAGCCGTTCGAAGACGATACATGGTGAAACTGTAATCGTTAGCTTGAGAGTTTTAGTGATCAGAAAGGTCAACTAACCATCCGGGTAAACACGTGACACTGCCAAAGAGAGACTCGAAAGCTTTAGCGAGATGATGGGAAATGTAGTACTCGTAAACTTGGATCATCGTCCACCAAGAGCGCTCTTCATTCTCAAGACTGGTCTCTCCACAAATACCTGCAATTTTAGCGTTGTTTGCACAAGCCGCTACGAGACGATTGAGGGAGTCCTCGCGAACACTTGTATCGGCATCAACCATGAGAAGGTACTCATAAAGTTCAGGATCTACACCGATGATGTTGTTTATTTGATGGAACATCTCGAGTTCAAGTGGCGACATGGGAGATCGGTGGTGGACACGGTTCAAGAAACTCATGAGAACGATTTGGGAATCTCGTTTACCGCGATTACCTGGCTTGGACTTGGCCTGTTCAGATTCTTTGCCGACCTTGACCACGACGATGTAGGGAACCACATTTCCTTCATATTCGTAAAGACCAGAGTAAACTTTTCCGTAATTCAGTTGCTCACTACTATCTCCAATAGACTTGAAAGGAAGTGCAGGTGGATCGATTTTGGGGTCGACACCAAGAATATCCAAGACAATCTTTGGTGTAGGTCGGTCGTTACCTCCTCCAACAATCATACCATCACAAATGACACAAATAAGCTTCCTTTTGTTGTCGTATTGGAGAGCGGTCAAGGAATCGAGAGCTTTTCGTAGCGAGTCTTCTCCTTCGGTATAAGCTGGGACTTGGCAAATGACAAATTTGTCCTGCGGTTGTGGACGACGCTTCGAGCCAAATTGTAAAGCAGCCAAGAACTTGATCAAAATAACGGCACACAAGATAATGGTAAAGGCGAGCAGAATGTAGTTGTTGATTTGACATTTGACAGAGTCGCGGAAATCTGGAATTCCGGTGTAGAAGGCGTTGTTGAAACAATTCAAATTGTTTGCAATGTTGGTACGCTCGGTGGCATTGGCGGCATCAACCATCTTGTCCCATTGAGTTGTGATATCCATACCTGGATTTGCCTGAATCAAGTTGGAAACTTTTTCGTTGAGGAAAACATAGGAAGCCAAATTCCCTTTCAGGTCAGCAGTATAGAAGTAATTGGTAAGGTCGTAGACTTTGTCTTTCAAAATGAACCACATGTGTTGGTTGTCTTGTCCTTCGGATTCGACCTTATTCCTTTTGACTACGAGGTCTCCAATGTAGTATTCCTTGATCCTGGGCAAGAATCTTTGTCCATACCAATTGATGTCGTATAATGCACTCTCTTGAAATGGTTGAAACTTTGGACCAGAAATGTGCATAGCAATGGGGTTTGCAACAGTGTTGTTGGCCGTAAGAACAATGCTATCGTCGGTAACGACACCTGGGCAGCCGACAGTGAGCGGTGGTACAAAATAATCATCCAAGTTCAAACCCGCAAATTCTATCATGTTAGCTGCAGTAGTTTTGGTAGTGGTGTCACTGTGCTGAATCTTATAGAACTTGGTGATATCGTAAACCTTCCCGCGGATACTGACATAAACGTCGTTGGTAGCCGTGTGTGAGGCAACTTCCTGAGCATTCCATGCTTTGTCTTTCAATGGACACAGGAGTTTACCAAAGGCGACGATCCAGAATATCATCAGAGCGTTCGCAAAACAGATTCCGAAAAAGAGAACAAGTTTTTCTCTCCATGCAAGTCGAACATCTTGTCGCTTCATGCGGCCGATATACCGAAGGAGGAAGGACGGAATCCAAAAGGTGAGAGCCCATACGAAACCGACCCAGACACGTCGACTCATGGTGGTTTCAGTGACGGTAGTACTTTTGGGTTCCGCCAACTCAGGATCCATACCACTAACCAACTCGCCATCCTCATTGGTGTAGTAAACTTGACCTTTCACGTCGTCTCCTTTCAAACCAAGACCGTAATCACCGGCACTGATGTTCCTCGAAGGTGCAAGGGATCGAGCACCTAGAGCACTACGGGCCATGGTTGCTGAGCTTTGTCGGTTGACCAGCATATCCCGGCTCCCATTTGGTGTCAATTCGTTCATAGATGGGAAGAACCCGCTGCCATTAGGACCGGATGAATATCCAGTGTCCAATGGTTGACTACCCATAGCGAACGGACCTTCATCAGCAGGTTTGAGATCGAGCATACCCTCTGCCTCCCACCAAGCGTTTTCTCTCATCCAAATACGTTCTGTACCAAGAACAACCTCTCCGTTGCTCCAACCACGTTCTAGAATCCAGCTCTCAATGCCATCCCGGCCATCCTTACAGCCCAAAAGAGAATATCTCTGAACGAATTCCTCGTGATCAAAGTCAGCAGTGAAATCGAGATTCTTATTCCTGCGATTAGCCCATTCGGGCAGTCTCCATGCACGTAACTGCCTAGACACTGTTCCTGCAGACCAGGCGGATGTGACTGATGGTAGCGAAGCCAGGCTTGCAGGAGATTCGTCCGTGGGATGTAATGACAAATGATGCCACACACGACTGGTTCCAAGAACAGCGGCCAGGTCAAGACGACCTTGACGGCCGAGGTTCACACCTTGGCCTTCGACAGGGAAAAGGATCTTCTTGATAAAACTATCGTCTTCGCCCTCTCTACCAACCTTCTCTAGGACAGCTTCACGTTTCTCAAGCTCATGTTCTCGTTCTCGTCCGTTTGGTCCAGTCATAATACCCAAGTCGGGCCCGACTTCAGTCAAGGCATTTTGCACATCCCTTATAATTGATGATCCCGCAGCCACAACCTCAACGCCGTCTTCCTTCATTTCAGCGTTGATACCTTGTGTATCGTCAAAAACACATCTCATCACTGCTGCTTTGCCGAGCGTAGGATCCGGGATTTCTAAAACAGTGATGCACACAGTGTCTCCGTTGTCCTCGTCAGTGTTGGGGGTTCTGGCACCTGGTCCACCATCACTAGAGGAATCGCCGTCCCGAATTCGTTGCATATGACCGCTGATTGCCTCGTTCGCCTTCAGAATTACCCAATCGACCAAAGCCTCATACAAGCCACCGACCAAGGTCTCCCGTTCTTGCATGCTGCATTGCTTGGCAAGTACATCGGGCTCAAGTCCAAGGAGACCACCCACATCCTCACAGACTTCTTCCAAAGCTTCCTCGTCCAAATTGTAGCTCAAGGTGTCACCCAACTTCAACAGTCCAGCCAATATCGATATCAGATTGCGATGTGCGGCTCCTTTAATTCCAATTTCTTTGAGGGCGGCTCTGAAATCGTCCGCAGAGGCAGCATCATCTGCTGTTGGAAGATATGATGGTGGATCGTAAGTTTGAGATCTCGCGAGTAACGCGTAATTCGACGCATGTTTGAGACCCAAGAATTCACGTTCAGCGGGTGTTGAGGCGGAAGTTAATAAGTAGTAAAAAACATCAAATGCTCGGTATCCGGCTTCCGATGGGATATTGATCAACCCCTTTGAGGTATCAATGCCACCTTCGGATAAAGCCAACGAAGCTGCTGTGAGATTTCCGGCCAAGCTAAGGGTCAATGTGACACCGAGGGCAGATTGCCGTGGAGTAGAAGGGTTCTGTGGAGAAGCTGTATGTATGAATGGTCGGAGGGCATTAAGGGCTGTATACAAGGTAGAAGGAATTGAAAGCGGAAGTGTCCGGAGGAAAGGGACGAGGATTGAAGGAGTTGAGGGGTGAAGTGATCTAAGTTCATGGTCAGAAATGTCAAGGTGGACGAGGGTTGAATGGCATACGCTATTACAATACAACCATCCTCTGCACGTCGTCTAGCATGTTCCCAGGCTCGGGCTGCTAATGCAGGGTCGACTGTACCTCCTGTACGTCCTTCCTGATCAGTTTGAGTAGCAGACAACCAAGTGTTGACTACCAGACTTGTGCTTGCATCAAGTCTGTAGGGTTGTCCGGATGTGTAAATTGTGTGCGTAGAATTCAACAGAGTAGTCGTCGATACTTGTGTGGATTGCTGGGCAGCCGAATTGATATTACGCCCCGGCGCAGAGGAGGTGGTGGAATATGTTGACATGCGGTTCGCCATGATGAAGCTTGAGAACCTGTCGTCCTCCTTCCCACCCTAATTGTTGATTACCGAATGCTCTCCAATGTATATCCAATGTTTTGATGATATCGGGAGATCCAAAACTATGCTCCGACTTGCGGATGAGACCGAACGTCGAGGTAGGGATGCGTTCGAATTGGTATGATGGATTGAAGGAGGGCAGGTGTATTATCGTGGCAGGTAGTTAGGTTGGGGATGTGAGACAGGAGGTTGGTGGTGACTTCCAACTTCGATTCTCAAGGTGGTCAATGGTCCGTCGCTGAGCAACGCCTGCTTAACCTGCAGTTGCCGCTGGAAAATAGGAGCAGGAGCACCACACAGGCAAAGTTTAACGAACGGATGAAAGTATTACTGTAACTTTAGAGACGGACTAGGAAAGAACGGAAACGCAGCACCAAAACGAGGGAGGTGGATGGTCCCGGAGCGGAATCTGGATGCAGGTAGAGCGAATGTTAGACACTTCCTTCCAGAGAGGATGGAGGATTGAGGTCGGAATGAAGCGTGCACTCGACTTGACGTGGTGGAATGTCCTGGTCGTGGAATTCTACCCCCTGCTGGGATGGATTGCGCTGTCAGTATGAGTAGTCACTTCCGGCTGCCGTACTTAGTCGAACCCCTGAATTGCCTAGCACGCCTGGATGGGTGCAGGTGGGCAGCGCTGCCAGGTGCTGTAAACGTAAACTGGCATGTTGCCACCAATACGAACTGTCAGATGCTGCTTTAAGATGTTTTTTGAATGGCTTGGACTTCGCCCCTCTGGCCACTTGGGACGAACCATTGCCACTGGTCAGCGCCAATGAAGGCCGCCGTCCAAGCTGTCAAAGCGGCACGGTGGCTGCCAGTGCATTATTTATTTTTGGATCAATGCATGGTCAGTTCTCCAGTTAAAATCGCTCGTGAGTCGTGAGGAGATTCAGCGAGGTTAACTGATTCTCGGGTGTTTTTTCCCTTGATTACGAGTAGTTTTGATTCTCTATCAAAATATATATCGTTATTATTCATCTCCTGCAATACGATCAGTATGACAACTCTTGATATCCGAGCAGGATCTACCATACACGCCCACTCGGATGCTATCAAAGTTCCTACTCGAGTCCGTACTTCTACTTCGGAGTACACTCCAGTTTCGTCCGAGTTGCAACTTGCAAAGACCTCGAGCCTACGAGTCTACCCCATACCGATACAGAACAGCGTCATGATCTTTCTTGAAAACTTTATCGTAAGCTCCACTCGGTGGCTAGAGATTGGCTATGGTTGGGATCTTGGTTCAAGAACTGCAAGCCAAGCTTGGAACACGAAACCCCGAGATCAAGCTCATCCATTTGAATTTTGTATGAACCAAATCACTTCTTTTCTAACCCATTTTCTGTGCTCTCTGCGCTTTCTGTAGGAATATTAAATGCAGGTGGTGTACATGTACATGTGAGATGTAGATTATGGCAACATGAGCATCATCCCGACGGAAATCCCACTAGATCGTCAGGGCCTATTAGCGTGCATGAACCTTCGATGGCTTTTGAGGACAACCAACCCCCAGCATGAACTCGGTCTGTGTTGTGCAGGAAAATCGAAGTACTTAACGAAGTGCATTTCTTCGTGCAGTTGCTGGCGAAGCTTTACCTGGTTGGTCATAAAGCTCCGTAGTGTAAAAAAGAGGCAAGAGGCTGTGCAGCAATTCAACCTCCCGGTCTTCGTCTTCTCGTCTTCTCTGGTCCTCGTGTTGAGTTGCAGATGATGTGAGGGTGGGCTCCCGATACGAGGAGAAAACACAAAGGTCAGGCTTCTCGCTTCGGCATACCGGTGGAGGCTCTGTCACCCGAACGGCCATGGCCAACCTTTTATGAAGATACTCGGTACAGCTACACAGTACTCAGTAGTGACCGTGGAGTGAGAACATGGCAATGCAATGGAAATGGCATTGGGTGTGATTACGAGGCATTTGGGTTGATACAACTCTAATGCTGTCTGAAAGTCAAAGAGCACTCTAATGCCTACATGTGCGGAATTAAGTGAATAACATCCGAGGCTTGGTGTTAGGCGAATGCGGTAGCAAAAGGGGCTGGTGAAGCTTGTACTTGTAGATACCATACCGTACCTACTGTAATACCAACCTAGTACCTCCTACCTAGGTACACCTTGAATCAGTAGAACGATCTTGCTGTGAGATTTTTCTTGCCGTACAACTGGAAGTCCACTTCCGACTTTGATACCTGCATAACTAACTCTTACGTCCAATGCTTCCATTCTTCCTTCTAGAAATTACGAAGTGCCAACCACCAATTACCAATTACCCAGGTACGAGTAGCCTGCCCCTTTAGTGTTTGTTGTCGAAGAAAAAAAGTCCCGAAATAGAACACAGATCAAGAGTACCGAGTACGGTGGCCAGTAATGCGGCTTCGCCAGAACTGCAGCCGACGACCCTGGCAATAACATCAGGCCGGATTCTGAAGTGCACTGCTGCCCGGAAACTTCTCCTCCATCTCACTCGAAGGTCTTCTTCGACCATAGTTCATCGTCAACACGATTTGGGGGTGCTGTATCCGTATTGACCGGTTCACGTCTCGACACCGACACCGACACTCGCTCTTGCCTCCGTTCGAGGGTGCACCTTCGTTCGCTTCCTTGCAGTGGTCGCTTTCTTTTTTCCGCGCGCGAGCTTGGGGCCATTTCGTTACCCAGGAGACTCAACTCCTGATCACCACCACTGCCACCACACGAGCACCGAACCACCTTCACTCGCTCTGCACAACCACCACCACCACCACCACCACCAACAATTGCTCAAGCAACAACATCACCGACCAGTAGTCGAGTAATCCAACAAACTACACATACATAGGGTTACCCATTTTCCACTCCGGGTTTCGACCCTGACATCCAAACATGGCATCGACCACTCTAGGAGGCGGAGGGGCTCACTCACAACCATCCCTTCCTGCCCTACCTGCACATCTTCAATCCGACACACATCTGACTGCCCACCTTGCCAGTCGATTTCACGTCTCATTGCCTACCGCACAACTCTCCTCCCACGCGCTAATATCACTTAATACATATGCTTCTTCGAGCAAAGGTCCAGATGGAGGGAAGGAGGGTTCCGCCATGGGCGGAGCAGAAGAGCTTGCCGAGAGAGCTTTTACCAGACTTGGTGCGCGCTCGGAGAATCAGACGGTGGTCTTTCTGTAAGTTTGGAGCCATGGTGAGGAGGCAGTCGAGAATGCTAACTGTTCTCCAGTGGAGAATCCGGTTCTGGTAAATCCACCGTTCGATCCCATCTTCTCAAAGCTCTTCTCAACAAGCCAAACACACCACTGTCAGGCAAGTTAGAATGCGCTGCATATGTTTTTGACACTTTGACCACCACCAAGACCGCGACCACTCCTACAGCATCCAAGGCGGGCCTGTTTTTTGAACTCCAATACGATACGACATCGAGTGTTCACCCAACCCTGATAGGTGGAAAACTTTTGGATCACAGATTGGAGCGAAGCCGAGTTGCATCTGTGCCAACTGGAGAGCGAAGTTTCCATGTTCTCTATTATTTGTTAGCAGGAACAAGCCCGGCGGAAAAGAACCATCTTGGTCTTGAGGATTCTGCTTCATACGGAGCCGGAGCAGGTCAGAATATACGCCACTCCGTATCTCATCAGAAAAGATGGCGATACCTCGGCCACCCCACCCAGATGAAAGTGGGTATCAATGATGCGGAGGGCTTCCAGAAGTTCAAGTCTGCTTTAAGGAAATTGGAATTCCCTAGAAGTGAGATTGCCGAGATTTGCCAGGTATTGGCTAGTATTTTGCACATTGGTCAACTTGAATTTGAGACGACTTCGGATACCACGGCCACTGGCGACGACTCTGGTGGCTTTTCCCACGAAGGCTCTCAGACTATCACAGCTGTCAGCAACAAGGAGGTGTTGGGTATGATTGCTGCATTTTTGGGAGTCAGCGCCATCGACTTGCAAACCACTCTGGGTTACAAAACCAAGATGCTGCAGCGCGAGCGTGTCACCGTGATGTTGGACCCACGAGGAGCCAGAAGCAACGCAGACGAGCTTGCCCGAACTTTGTATTCGTTGCTTGTAGCCTATGTTGTTGAAAGCATTAACCAAAGGGTATGTGCGGTTGAAGAGAGTGTTGCCAACACGATTTCCATCGTCGACTTCCCCGGATTTGCTCAGCAACGTTCCACAAGTTCCACCCTCGACCAACTCCTCAACAATGCCGCCACTGAAGCGCTCTATAACTTCACTTTGCAGAGTTTCTTCGAGGCTAAGGCTGAGATGCTCGAGAGTGAGGAAGTCAATGTAGCAGCAACTAGCTATTTTGACAACTCAGACGCTGTGAAAGGACTGCTCAAGCACGGGAATGGCCTGCTTAGCATCCTGGATGACCAAACCAAGCGCAGCCGAACGGACGCCCAACTCCTGGAAAGTCTCCGAAAGCGATTTGAGGGCAAGAATCCAGCTATAGCTGTAGGTAGCTCAACTGCCAAACTTCCTGGTAGCAACTTTGCCACTCACAACGCATCTGCTTCTTTCGCCGTCAAACATTTCGCCGGAGAGGTGGATTACCTCGTTGCTGGTCTCGTGGAAGAAAACGGCGAAGTCATCTCTGGTGATCTCATGAATCTTGTTACCTCTACCAAGAGTAATTTCGTTGGCCAACTTTTTGGCCAGGACGCTCTCCAGAGCATGGTTCACCCCCAAGAGAAAAACACCATCATGCAAGCTCAGGTCAGCTCTAAACCCCTACGAAAACCAAGTGTCATGCGTAGGAAGGGCGACAGACCAAACAGATTCGCTGGGAGAGAGAAACCGCAGCTTTTTGGGGACGATGATGACGTAGAAATTGTTGAGCCAGAGAACACACGAAGAGCCCGAAATCTCGACCAAGGAGCTGCGGGTCAATTCCTCTCTTCGCTTGATAATGTCACCAGATCTCTTACGGCGCCAAACACCAATCCGTATTTTGTATTCTGTCTCAAGCCCAACGATCGAAGAATTGCCAACCAATTTGACAGCAAATGTGTAAGAACACAAATCCAGACCTTTGGTATTGCAGAAATAAGTCAGCGATTACGCAATGCAGATTTCAGTCTCTTCATTCCATTTGGAGAATTCTTGGGCCTTGCAGATGCCGATATCTCTCTGATTGGCAGCGAACAAACCAAGGCTCAAATGGCCGTAGACGAGAAGCGATGGCCACAAAATGAAGCCAAGGTCGGTGCTACCGGTATCTTCTTGAGTGAAAGATGCTGGTCCGAAATCGCGAAGCTGGGTGAACGGGGTTATACCGCAGGCAGATATCATACTACCTCAGAAGATGGAGGGGATGGACTGCTTACCCCTGACCCAAATGCCACCTTTGGAACGTCCAAAGATCGTCTCCTTGGAACACCATCAGGCCCTACACCTTCTCCTGGTGCGTACATCTATGGCAGTGACAAGAAATCCGGTTACTTTGGTAGCCCTGATGTCGATACGCGGTCTGATGCCGGCGTGTCTGCTGCCGGTAATGATAACTTGTTCCGAAATTTTGATACCAGGGAGCAGCAGGCAGAAAAGGGTAACGAGAAAACCATGATTGAAGTCGAAGAAATCAAAGTCAGCTCAAGCCGCAAGAGATGGGTTGCCGTGGTATGGCTGATGACTTGGCTGATACCTGACTTTCTCATCAAGCACATTGGTAAAATGCCGCGTAAAGATGTACGACAAGCCTGGAGAGAGAAGTTCGCCATCAACATGATGATTTGGCTTATATGTCTTTTCGCTGCCTTCTTCATTGTCATCTTTCCAATGCTTATCTGTCCAAAACAAGATGTCTTCAGTGCGGCTGAGTTGACATCAAAGGATGGCAAAGGGAACAACGATGCTTATGTCAGTATCAGAGGTACTGTCTTCGATCTCGGTGCCTTCCAACCCGCTCATTACCCATCAATTGTCCCTGCAAAGTCTATCATGGCGTATGCTGGTCTGGATGCCACATCACTCTTCCCTGTTCAGGTCTCTGCTCTCTGCAATGGCGTTGACGGAACAATCAACCCTCAAGTCTCGCTCGATTATTCTAGCACCAACACAACTGGGACCGCTGATGTGATCAATACTGCTACTGATCTCAACTGGAGGTACCATGATTTCAGGGCTTGGAGAACAGATGCTCGTAAAGATTGGTGGTTTGAACAGTTCACGATGCTAAAAGCAAATTACCAAAAGGGCCACATTGGTTATACCCCCGAGTACGTCAAGACTCTCAGCAAGAAACAACAATCTGTTGCAATTCTCAACAACAGAGTTTATGATTTCACCAAATATATCGCCGGTGGAAGACGAGTTAACCCTATGGATGGCGGCGACGGATCCGTCCCTACTGATGCTAATGTTAATTTCATGGACAACCAAATCGTTCAGCTGTTCACAATTAGAGCTGGTCAAGATGTAACCAAATACTGGTTAGCGCTGGATATGAATCAGGACCTTCGCGATCGAATGCTGGTATGCCTCGAGAACTTATTCTACGTTGGTGACGTCGACACCAGAAACTCCGCCAAGTGCAAGTTCTCCGAGTATCTCCTCCTCGCCATCTCAGTCTTGCTTTGCAGTGTCATCGGGTTCAAATTTTTGGCAGCCCTTCAATTCGGCGGTAAAAACGTGCCAGAAAATCTTGACAAGTTCGTCATCTGCCAGGTTCCCGTGTATACTGAAGACGAAGAATCCGTTCGACGTGCCCTTGATTCGGCCGCAGTCCAGCATTACGATGATAAGCGTAAACTTATCGTCGTTATTTGTGATGGTATGATTATTGGTCAAGGAAATGACAAGCCAACGCCTCGTATTGTGCTCGACATTCTGGGGGTCTCTGAAACTGTTGATCCCGAACCCTTGAGCTTTGAATCCTTGGGCGAAGGTATGAAGCAACATAACATGGGCAAAGTCTACTCTGGTCTTTATGAAGTGTCAGGTCACATTGTGCCATTCATGGTTGTCGTCAAAGTTGGAAAGCCTTCCGAAGTCTCGCGTCCTGGTAACAGAGGTAAACGTGATTCTCAAATGGTCCTAATGAGATTCCTCAACAGAGTTCACTACAATGCACCTATGAGCCCTATGGAACTGGAAATGTACCACCAGATCCGAAACATTATCGGCGTCAACCCGACTTTCTACGAATTTATGCTCTGTATCGATGCGGATACCACCGTTAACAAAGATTCGTCCGCTCGAATGGTTTCTGCCTTCTTGGACGATACAAGACTTATTGGTGTGTGCGGTGAAACCCATCTCTCCAACGCAAAGTCATCCTACGTTACTATGATTCAAGTCTACGAGTACTATATCTCTCACAATCTCTCCAAAGCTTTCGAAAGTTTATTCGGCAGTGTTACTTGTCTTCCAGGTTGTTTCACCATGTACCGTATCCGAGCTGCCGAATCTGGAAAGCCGCTATTCGTCAGTCGAGAGGTTGTAGAGGCCTATTCGAATATCCGTGTCGACACGCTTCACATGAAGAATTTACTCCACTTGGGTGAGGATCGATACCTCACTACTTTACTCATGAAGAACCATTCCAAGTACAAGACGAAGTACTTATTCAACGCTCATGCTTTCACCATTGCCCCCGATACCTGGAGTATTTTCTTATCTCAACGTCGTCGTTGGATTAACTCGACTATTCACAATCTCATGGAACTTATCCCGCTGACACAACTTTGTGGTTTCTGTTGTTTCAGTATGCGCTTCATCGTCTTCATCGACTTGCTATCTACTCTCGTTCAGCCCGTCACCGTTGCCTATATTGGTTATTTGATTTACCAAGTCATTGCCCATCCTTCTGTCATTCCTGTTGCTGCTTTTATCATGCTCGGCGCCATTTATGGATTGCAAGCCATCATTTTCATCCTACGCCGAAAGTGGGAAATGATCGGATGGATGATTCTGTATATTGTTGCCATTCCTGTCTTCTCTTTCGCCCTCCCACTTTACAGTTTCTGGCACATGGACGATTTCTCATGGGGTAACACCCGTGTCGTTACTGGTGAGAAGGGTAAGAAGGTTGTCATTACCGATGAAGGCAAATTTGATCCATCTTCCATTCCAACCAAGAAATGGGAAGAATACCAGGCGGAGTTGTGGGAAGCACAAACTGCACGTGACGATCGATCTGAGGTTTCTGGCTACTCATATGGTACTAAGCACCCTGCTGCCATGTCTGAATACGGGTTTGCTCCATCCGCGATGGGAGGTTACTATCCAAACGATAACAAGAGCGCCAACCTTTACAACTCCCAATCTCGCATGTCCTTGGCACATTCCGATGTGGGTGGTGACCACCGAAGCTTGTACGGGGGTAGTCAGTTTGCTGGTGCACAAGACTTGGAGCTTTCGAATCTTGCTGGTCTCCCAAGTGATGACTCTATCTTGGCTGAGATTCGAGAGATTCTCAAGACGGCTGATTTGATGACGGTCACCAAGAAGAGTATCAAGGTGGAGTTGGAGAGACGATTTGGGGTTTCTCTCGATGCAAGAAGGGCTTATATTAATTCTGGTATGTTATCCTCCTTCATATCTTGTCCATTAAGATCGTTGCTAACCCGTTTATTCTAGCTACTGAGGCTCTCCTTTCTGGCGCGTTGTAGTGTTCATGCTGGAGAAGGTAGTCTTTCATGTTTGGAGTGAGGGGTTGGAAAGCGGTAACAAGACGAAAAAATGCATTTTCTGGAGTATCGAATTTGTGTTTTTCCCTGTGATAAGGGATGGTTGGATTGTAGCAATAGATGAATTTGCACCTGGGCAAGGCGGGGATGAAAGGAAAAACAGTTTCTCTTCTTTATCCTCATGACCTCGTGTTTTTCTTTCCTCATTCTTTTTCCTTTTGGGCGTATGGGTTGTTGGGTCATTACAGGTGGATGACATGTGGGGTTTGAGCGGTCATGGAGAGCAGGATATAATAATACTACTACCTACCTACTTACCTGATATTCTGCTCTTTTTTTTCTTTGTCTGCGATGTGATGTGATGTGATTTCTCGGGGTTTGTCTTTGGCTGACCATGTTGTGGGTGGGTTTTTTGCTTACGTCTTGGAGGGTTGAATAAGGTAAGATTACAGTATGTAATCCGATTGTTCTATGGCTTCTGATTATTATGCTACTCAGTCTCTTGTTATACTGTAGCTGGTAGGGAATTTGTTTTAGTGTAGCTGATAGGTATTGTTAGAGCTTTGGTAGACTCTAGTATAGATGTGTCGAGTAAGAGAAATGAACAAGTGCAAAGGTGGTAGTGAATAGGCAGGAAAACCCATATGGTTTTAGATGACAGATAAACTATTTGATCTCCAGGACCTTTATTATTAGCTAGTTCTCTATATCCTTGAACACATGTCTTGACTTTACCTACTTTGCGGACCGTTCTATATTCCTGTGGTATAGAAAGTACGAGTACGAAAGTGTTTAAGTATTTATGGTACTTATTATTAGACCAGTGGGTGGGCGCTCGACTAGACTAAGCGAACAGTATATATTGTAACAGCTAACCCAGCTCGCCCAAAAAGGACAAAACCGCCGATGAAAATGGCAAAGGAACCTACGCCCTAGGGGCTGGCAAGGTTGAAAACTAGACGGACCGGTACTGAGGTTTACATGTTTTAGCTTAGTGAGCTCGTGGGCCTGTGTTTCCTAGGATATTTGGCATGTTACGTGACATGGAGATTTATTCAATCAACATACCGGTATCCGATATACATATATTTCATGATTGGTATGTGAAACTTACCTCATCCCAGGTTGGATAGTGTTGGTGTTTAAGCGAGGGTCTTCATTGGGGGTTTGCGAATTTCTTGGCTATTTGGTTGCGTTGTTGGTCGCTTGGGTTTATTGGAGACGATTGGAACATCTGACTTTACTTCGCCATGGAAGCCACACTTTATTCTTGAGGCCATTCTTTTTGAGATTGCGGCTCTTACAATGTCTTATCTTGTCCTACCACCAGAACTAATTTTATCCATTGCAGTGGTAAGTTCAAATCATCAACTCCAGAAGATACGTCTGCTAATGACTCGAAGCATCTCACGCAAACAGATTTGAATAGATGGAGCCTCGTCAACAAATTCACACACGAAGTGCTTTTATGCGCCCGTTTTCGATGCCTCCGGGTTACACCTAGGAACGTGGTAACGTATCTACAGGGAACCAACAATGCTCAGCAATGTTTAGACTACGTCAGAGAGCTACAAATAGATTGCAGCGAGTCGAACGATATTAATGCCATCAATAAATGCCTCTAACGTTCGGCAACTGGAATTCTATTCGATTCTGGAGGCCTCCTCTGGAAGGATTCTATTCTATTTAAAGATATAGTAGAAGGATTCTATTCTAGAGCTATATATTCCATAGAATATATAGAATTTCTAGCTATAATTTATTATATGACCCGGAAAAATATACTCTTGTTTTGTCGACTAATAAGAAGTCTCTAGGGCCCTATTCTTATATTAAATAGTTAGATTACAAGTTATATAGTACTAGGCGGAAAGTCTAAGGCATTTGCCCTTTTTACACTAAAACTCGGTATAATTACTTATAGATAAAACATAAAAGACTATTTACAATTATAAAGTCCTTTATAAAATCTGTTTATTTTAACGTTTCCTTCCTTTCTATCTCTTCCGATTTTATTAGATAATTTATGTTCAATCGTCAGTCGGTACACGTTACATCAAAAGGAGGCTTATTATTAGTTTTCTTTTGTATTGCTGGCTAGCTTCAAGTGCTTATAATTCGCCTATATATAGTAGAAAGCGAAGAATAAGCACCCTCGGTCTCGCACCCTTGCGAGGGTAGTTTAACTAACTAATTCCAAGTACTCGGACTTCGACTATATTATAGACTAATTAGAAGGCTCTATCTTAGCAAAACACGAAGTATAAAGTAGGGCTAGCGTCTAAAAACCCTCCTAAATCGTAAGGCGAGCCTTCTAGTAAGGGGAATGTAGGTAGGACAAACAAGTACATAGCTGATAAACAAGTACGTAGCTAATAAATAAGCACCTTTCGGACTTCGGCTATATTATAGACTAATACGAAGGCTCTATCTAGTAGAAATACGAAGTATAGAGCAGGGCGATAACTTCGGCTAGATAAGTAAAGAAGTATAAAACGCTCTAATCTAGATAATATATAAGTAACCGGCGAGCTAGTCGCGAGGGGTATATAGGTAGAATAAAAGAGCTTATAAAAGTATAGCTAACGATATAGTAGATATTATAGTAGTAGTGTTAAAGGTATGTAGTAGTAGTAGGGTAGGATACAGACTATATATGTGACGGTTCTAACCGTCACCACCATTCGGATCACGTGGTCTCGCTTAGCGACCCACACCAAGTATTTAGATCGAAGCTCTCTCGAGCTCTCCTCTTCTCCTCAGCTTAGAATCTTTGTTTAATTGACAGTTCTACGATTCCACAACCTACACCGTGGGCTTTGCGTACGTGTCGTCACAATATATCCTACTATAGCTTACTAAGCCTTTATCCTTATTCACTATAAATCCTACCATATATAGTATTAAGTAAATTAGGTCTAAAGTAGTCTATGTATATAAATTACGTATTATATACCAAATACGGCCCGATTTCGGTACTAAAATATGTAACTCTAGAACATTAGAATATATACTAATAAAGACTTGCTTTATAACTTAATACACCTATATAAGAGTACTAGTAGTATACTTAACTAAGAGTACACAAGAGGGATAAAGCTTTTATTTATAAAAGGTAAAGTTATAAGCTATTAAAAACTAGGCAAATCGTCGTATTTAAGTGTTCTTCGGCTAAATAGCTCAGACTTACCGCCCGGTACTATATCACGTAAATGTCCCCCTAAATATCTACCTACCTAGGGTACAAGTAGAGTTAATTATAAAGGAAAGTATTAGGTACTACTATATCTTCCTAGCTATTTACTTAACTCTATAAGGCTATATAGCTCCTATAATCACATGTTTTAACTAGTCTGGAATTCCATAGATTCCATGGAATTTCTAGAGCCTACTAATAGAAGGAATCTTTCCATATTATATAAGCTCTAGAAGGATTCCAGGTAGAATTAAATAGAATAATTCCATGGAATATAGTTCTATGTGCCGAACGTTGAATGCCTCCAATTTGTACAAATGATTCCAGCTCGACAGCTTACTCGTCTTCAATGGCAACTTGGAAACGAGACACCTATCACTGAGATTCAAGAATCAACAATATTCCTTCGCCAAAGTCAACTTCGGTCTCTTTCTCTGTATCCTTGGTCACATATTCAATCATATCCCCAGGGCCTCTCTACTCTCACCGAACTTGAGGATCTCAAGTTATGTGCTCCTAGCTCGCTACCGGGTGCATGTGAGAATGCTACAGACACCGGTAACTTACTCATAACAGCGAGGTCAAGTATAAAATCTCTTTATGCGGGCCGTCCCTCTCGATTCCATCGCCCACCGCCTGTCAAAGGGATTTGTTGGCAGCAGTGGCTCCGGGGATACACGAGCGTTCCAGGTTCCCAGCTGGTTTTAGAAAGAGTTCATTTGGACCACTTCACATCCAAGGATCCAGAACACTTTCCTTGGGGGCTGATCGACTGCGGTGCAATCAAGTTCTTAGCCTTCCAAAATTGTCTCAACATTTCCTCTGACCTACTAGCCTTTTCGAGTTTTTCGTCGTCGCCATGGTCACTTCAATCACTGGAGGTCAAGTTTTGGGATAATTGCATGGATCAAGCACCACAGCAATTGATATACCTGGGAGCCTTTTTGAAGGATGAACGCATATGCAACCTCGCACATTTGCACGTCGAGGTGCCCAATGATCAAAGACTACTATCCTCAGAAGCAATTGCACACAACCGGAAGCTGCGCAATTTGACTGTCAATATGACGGATAGCAACGGTTGGCTGCTCGTATACACCCCTAAAGAGATGCGAACGATACTGTCCACCTGTGATCAATTACATGACCTACGCTGCACCATCCCAACAATCCGAGATCGGGAATTCTACTTAAGTAAGGTGATTCTAATATGCTTCGTAATGGGCTAATTAAAGACGACATCTAGAGCAGTATTCTTGTATCAAAAAGCTTGCGACGCTTGCATGCCACTGGCTATCGATAATTCGAATGGCCAACGCCTTCCTGGATGTGGCCCCGCTGTCACGGTGGAGACTGTGAAGAGGCAGACGAAATTTTGCAGGTCGCACGGCATATACTGAAGCCAGGATACGATGAGACCTCTCCTAGAGTAGTAGGGGTGGCTATCCGTGAGGTTTTGATCCATTGGGGGGAGCATTACTGTGCTTCATGGGAAAGGGAACTCAGTCTTTTTCGACTATCGCCTTCTTTTAATGAAGTTTTACAATGTAACAGAGTCGAGGTTTGATGCATATAGCCCATGGTTATATCATGTCATTCTTTCACCATTGTCTTGCCCATGAATATCAACCATAAGCCATGTTACTAAACGCCGCCTGGAAGTAATGATGACACCTGAATATGAGGGGGGCAGATTATTTGCAAGCTACACGAGACTGCTTTCTTCAGGTACTTACCGCTATATTTCACCTTTCGACACAACGGCAGTATTCAAGTTATTTGCCATCAGCATTATTTCCTTCCCCCCTGAAATCAATCACTTTTCCAAAGGGGTTTCAAAGCGCGTCGTCTAAGAGATCAATGTCATAATCTGATTGATAGAATTGTCAAGTCAGGGATCATCATACTACAATAGAGCACTCATAGCAAACATGTTCATTTGAAACCCCCTCGTCCAGCAATCCTAGGTGTCAACTCCCCTGCCTCAATTTAGACGCCAGAATAATAGACATCTTCCTTGAAGACGTAATCGCCATCGGGTTCTACAAGCTGACCAATACACCAATCATGACCAGTAGACTCCGTGTTGGTTTTGATAACTTCGCTAACGGCCACCAGATCATTCCCTCCCGTGGAATAATATAGTGTTATATGCCCATCGTATTCGGTAAAATCGATCGCGTATGCGAAATTTTGCCTGGTGTGAAATTTTGGAGTTAGCATTACCATTTTGAGTAACAATATTGATTCAGATAAGTGGAGGAGAAAGAAACGATGTAAAAGACATCTCAGATACTCTAGAATAACTCGAAAGACAAAGAAATAACTTAGATGTTACCTACCAGACATCAATTTCCCATGGAGCGGTCCAATGTGATTGGTTGGCGACGTTCCAAGTCAGGTTCTTACCAGCTGCTCCACCAAAGACCAATTCCGTGAAGTAAGGAAGTGGTGAGTACCAAGCGTCTTCAGGTTCGAAAAAAGCGAATTTGTGCCTTTTAGCCACATCAAGCGGGTTGATGATGCTTCGTAGGATGCTGAAGTGGTAATAAAGCAACCCAGTACCTACTGGAGTAGGTGCATCAATTGCTGCTGCACCTTCGGGAATCAGGTTGGTTCTTCGCACTTTTTCGACTACATTATCCCAATTGGTCCAATATGAGGTTTCAGTGACAGTCATTTTCACACCGACCTTGCTCTGTAGATCCGCTGGGTTCTTGAGTTTGGGATCGAAAGCGAGGTATTCATCGGTAACACCAGGACCGTGCTAGTGATTATTCAGTTGACTGTTGAAAATGTTTGAGCGGGAGACTCACTTTATACCATTGGTATGCATAACCATCTCGATTATTCCAAGACCACCCAGCAATGTCGTCGGTGGTGTTGTGATCCAGGAACCTTCCATCCCACACAACGTATCCGTATTTAGTTACCTGCCGATCAACTAGGTCGATACCGACGGCTAGCTTTGCAAGTATCGCAAGAAAGACAACTGATTTGTGCATATTTGGAAAAAACGCAGATTTACATGGATTGGTCTTGATGACACTATCTAAGAAGTTTTCAAGAAGGATGGAGGAAAGAGTGCCAGAATCAGACGGCAAACGAGGTAGCTTTATACTCTCAAATCTCTCCATCCCGAGCAGCTTAAGGGTTTCTCAGAACTACCGAACTCCAGTTCCTTTTTGATTGGGAATAATCTGCTTCCGCCCAGTGTAAAGTCTATTAGACTATTATTTAGTGACATGTTGTTGTCAATTTTGATGGTACTAAACATTTTCACGCAGAATGGGCTGGATTTGAGAAGATGCACCCAGAACTAACGCGTATTTGAGATTTCGACTCTTCGGTTTGAGGCATACTCTTCCACTTGAAGATACGCTTACAATCAAGTTTGAAAGATACTCTTACTATAAATTTCGAAGATCATCCATGGTACTGTAAGCGAGCGCACGAAGTGCAATAAGGTTGAGCTACACTTGGCGTGCATTTTGAAGGGATTTGCTGGTAGCAAAATAAAGGAGGCAAAGGTGTCTTTCTATTGTAACATACTTTAGCTGCTATATTTTGTTCCAAATGCACTGTATTCAAGAAGACAGTTGCGCTCAACAACACAACTCACTCTTGCTTCCCGGATGTTCAGTTGAGCGTTGGATGTGGTCGGTCTCGCGGAGAGTGGGGGTTTTGAGCCTAACGCACTACGACTATGCGATTTCTGAGGCTGTAATAATCCCTATGGAGTCTCGAGGTGGTCCTGTTGTATTTCTGGTGTTACCAAGTCTGCTCCATCGTTAGAATTTCTTTATCACTCAATTTTATAACTCTGTTAAAGTAAATTTTCTCTTGCTAACTACGTAGGGTGGGCTAGCCCACCCTACTGCGGTCTTATTTTCCGAAAACCCCAGCCAAGTCGCCGTAGATGCGATCTACACTTCGGAGGCGTAGACTGAGTTTTGTTAGCTTAGTAGTTATTCAGATTTCGGTTTTATTTGTATCGAACTTATCCTAGTTGACACTTCTAATCACACAAGTTCCGCGAATTAAACTAGTCTCGCTATTACCTAGGTACTAATACTGTTCAAGAACAACCATAGTAGAAGCTCACACTCCATTACAGTAATGTATTCGGTCTGTAGAAATTCTCGAATATCGAATGAAAGCCAACTGAATTGGGCCGTAGAGCAGATCAAGTTTGATATGTTTACCACTCACCTCAGCAATTTAGCGAGCCACACAAACCGCGTTTGACCCACGAGTGCATCCATGGGGAACTCGTGATTGAATACTACCACCGTAAGATCTTCAACCGAAGAGCTTTAAAAAGGCAATAAAGATGTCGCTGTCCCTACTTCGAATCTGGGATCATCGCGACGTTGAGAATGGATACCAGGATTTGTTGTACCCAAATTACCTTGTTCAGAGGATACTGCTGGGCTTAGCTTCATTAGGTATGCACCACTAGACGATTTGGCAAATGTCCACCCAACAACACAGAGGGTCGTTTATCAGGTTCAAATCTAGAAGTGTTACGACACGAGCACTGTCTGGCTCTGTCTGGCACTAGTATATTCCATGGAAGGCGCTAGTCCTATTCAGGACACTTCCATGCTGACAGACAGCTCCTATATTAGAGCTCCGCTCTCACCTAGCTAGCTTCTCTCTGTATTCCAGCTTATCCATTCCACATTGTGCCCTCGCCTTCTGACAAGAAGGGTATTTCCGACTGATCTAGTCCGTTTCTACACGGTACTATCAAATGAGCATATATATTGAACAATCAGCTTGTATTTAGTGACATAACGAGTTCTTATCACAAACTGGAATTGGGGTATATGGTCACGTGTCTTCTATCAACGTGATTCCCCCCTTTCCCCTTATATATAGTAGCAGAGTTGTTGACGTCTAATTCCAGGCTCCTTAGAGAATTTTTACCTACTATTCTGGCCCACTCTGTACGCGATGCTTCTTGAATTGAGACACACAAAGGAACTGCACAAGTAAATCAGGCTCATGTTCAGGCAAAAAGAAAAGCAAAAACATGTTACTGTTCCCTGGTAATTTGGGTAGTCCACATACCGTAGTCGCAGCCATGCTGCTATCCTTTGAACCGCTAATGCATGTTGGACTCTGAACACATAAGAACCTTGTGTCTAATGCTCACATGATATATCCAAGACAATACCAAGGTTCCTATAGTCAAAAAAATATTGAAACCTCTTTACTCTCTTCACCAAAGTCCTTTGTGCTTACTGTATTACCGTATGCGTTGTTCTACCAGGAGAATAAGTTCAAATTGTGGCTACAAATAGGAGTAGAGAACAATTGAGAACGATTGGCCATCGTCCCTCGCTAGCTAACTCCGCTTCGAAGCAACAAACGCACAATGCATTTATCGGGACGGATGACTACACAGTCGAAACCAAAAATACCAGAAAATACTCGAAAGTGGCAGCACTATCAGTATGCCGGAAGGACAGCCACCTCCCGAGGGCACATACGAGAAATGACCAGAGATCTGGAGAGAAAAAAAAGTAAGTACCGTTACTACAAGGCCAACGGGACATTTTCCTCCCACCATACATAGGATACGATGCAATACAGTTCTCGGCAGGAATAGTCTCAACTTGCTAGTCCACCGCTGGAAAAATCGGGTCATTACGTCAAACGGATTTTGTCAACTGGCTTCTCGCCGCTAAATGTGACTTTGTGAAAAAGTGCGGCAGCCTGATCGTTTGCTCAGAAAACCCGTCTTTGTTTCGAATCACCAATATACCAGCAAGTCCTGCCATATAAAAAGAACGTCAGCCAGATCACTGAGATCAGAATTTACCAGTTCTCTGAGGATCGATACCAGTAGCAAGATGTCGCCCATCAAGCCCTTACCAACGAAATCCAAACCGACAGTGGCGGAGCCATCTTCCTGGAGAAGTAACTCCAAGGCCCCGGTCGAAAGCTCCGCCGATGAAGTTGAACGACTTCGCAGCTATCACATACAACTCCTTCAGACAACTATAGGGAAACATGATAGGCACGAGGCTACGACGACGCCTATTTTCACAATGCCGGTCCTCGAACACTTCAAGGAGACTTCGGACGAGGGCACCGAAACTGCATTCCCACAATATGGATTATTGGCCGGACAAACAGACCTCTTAAACGACAACGGAAACGGTGAAGCAAAATCCGGCGAGAAAGATCCAAGGCTCTTTTTCAATATTGCAGCACCATCAAGTACATTTATCTGTGGGTCTCAAGGATCGGGCAAGAGTCACACTTTGTCCTGCCTGCTCGAAAATTGCCTGTCGACCTCTGACGCTAGTACTCTGCCACATCCACTTACTGGGTTGGTATTTCACTATGACACGTTCATCTCTGATGATGGAGGCTCGCCATGTGAGGCCGCATTCTTATCGTCGAACCCCAATATCAGCGTGAGAGTACTGTGTGCACCCACGAACATCAGGACCATTAGAGCGAGTAGCCACCTCCGAATATAACCATAACCCACGAGCTAACATCTCTGCTAGAAAAGCTATGCCAGGCTACCCAACGTGGAGATCGAGCCATTGAAAATCAATCAAAGCAATCTAAACACAAAGCGTATGCTAGATCTCATGGCTGTAAAGCAAGATGATGGGCCAATGCCACTATATCTTCATGCCATCCACCGAATCCTTCGGGAGATGCGTATGGAGCAGCAGGAATCCGGCAGTTCATTCGATTATGGTGATTTCAGACGAAAAGTTGCCCTAACACCAATGACCCCAGCTCAGCTTTCACCATTGCAACAACGTCTCGACACACTGGAGAGTTTTATGCCAAAAGCACAAACAGAAAGTCCCCAACACAGTCGAGTTGGTATCAACGGAAAACGTGTATATGCAGAAAGTGGTAATGATTGGACTCCAAAAGTAGGTGCTGTGTCCATCATAACTGAATTTAACTGATCATTGCAGCGGGGTCGTCTGACCATAGTCGATCTCTCATGCCCTTGTGTGACGCCTGAGAGCGCGTGTGGTCTGTTCAAAATATGTTTGAATATTTTCCTGGATCAAGCACCAAGCATGGGCCGTATAGTCGCTTTAGATGAGGCCCACAAGGTAAGATCTTCTGGTGGGATACGTCCAATGACAACTTCTAACATACATCAAGTACATGAACGCATCGGCCGAAGCATCAGCCCTCACAGAAACGCTTTTGTCGACCATCCGCTTGCAACGTCATCTCGGCGCACGTATAATCATTTCCACCCAGGAACCCACGATATCTCCGAAGCTATTGGGTCTGTCGTCAGTGACCATCGTTCATCGATTCACATCCCCGGAATGGCTTCGTACTCTCGAGGCGCATCTTGCTGGAGCCGCATCGTACGCAGTCGAGGATGGAGAGGAATCGGGTGAAGCTAAAAGGTCCAAGAAGAGCCTTTCGAAGCAGATCTTCACCGATATCGTCAAATTAAGAGTTGGCGAGGCATTACTGTTCTCTCCAACTGCGGTGACTGGTCTTGAAGCAAACGTAAAAGGTGACCGGGAACTGAAGCGACTCGGAGCTGCTTATCTGAAGATTAGGGTCAGAGCGAGACTGACGACCGATGGAGGAAAGAGCATTATGGCGGATTGAGTTTGAGATGTCGGAGGCTCGGGTTGACCGGGCCGCTTCTCCGACTCCAGTCCGACTCAGAAGTCAAGTCCGACGGTTTTCCACAAATGTCCCTGGATAGAGCTTGTACAAGTATTAGTTAGATATATCATTTAGAAAAATAATAAAGTAGAACCATTCCTCCAATACTTCTACGTAGGTATCATACCTACGAATGTACTCGAGTATCTGCTGAGTATCTATAACTTGCAAGTCACACATAATTACATGAAAATCTCACCTTGAAGAAGCCGAGGTCCGTCCGTCCGAAGAATAAGCCGACGACGCGTGAGTACTAAACCTCGACTTCAGTATTCAGACGTACTACCCAAAGACAATGACATATGCTAGCTAAAAGGCAACCATGAATGTGCGCCTTCGACATTTATACTCAAGATGGCCTTGTAAGGCTACTCTTACCCCAAGATTCACACCCCTAACCACCAAGCGTTGTCACGCGAGTGGCTCTCGAGAAGCAGCATATCCAGCACCTCGACCTCGAAGGGTAGTCTATACCTCAAAATCAGCTCTATGGTCATCACCCATACACCCTATTCTGCACTGCGCATATGAGGAAAATTTCGAGGTCCCTAGCTCACACAAAAGATTTCACGATGAAGAAGTTGCGAGACTTCCGAATACTATACCTCTTTGGAATGCACGAGAGGTTGCTCTTGAGTTGGTAGGAAAGGAAGCTTATCAAACCTGTATTATGTGAGTGTTTTTGTGTGGAACACAGACATCCACGTGCTGATTCTCGAATTCTAGGCCGAATATATGGTTGAGGTGAGAATGCTGCCCGTAGTTCAACGTGAAATTAGCCTTAACTATCTGCTCAGAGAAAACTGTCTTTGCAACGAATGTATAAACAGCGATACGTTGCAAAGAGCTGTAGATACCTTTTCCGTGGGTCCAGTTTTTTCACTGTCTATTTACTCCGTTGCTGATATCAATCATCCTAGCTACCTCAAGACATTCAACCCAGTAAAGTTGTAATAGCAAAACAGGGCCTTCAAATCACGTGTAAGAAATCTCTCTTCCGATGCCTTTTCTAGCTAACTCTTCTTAGGGCAGGATGGTCATCAAAGTCTCCATCCCTGGGCTTGGATTGAGAATCATAAAGGCTTGGAAAACAATTTGAATTATAGGATTATTCACCGAAAGGAGGAAGACACGTCAGTCACATCTTTGTTACTAGCAGTTCGTTCCCTATACTGACTGAAAATAGACGAGTGTATTGGGGCGCTGAAATCGCCGACAACCCGCCATCAGTGCACTACGATGAAATCATGGCAAGTGATGTTGGCGTCGGAGTCTGGACAGAAAAGATAGTGCGTAGAGCTTTTCAAAAGACTCAAAAATACCAACTAACACCATTCCAGCGAAAGTACGGATTCTGTTACGTGGATGGCTGTCCAGTTTCTCCAAAAAAGACAGAAGAGCTCCTCAGAAGAATCTCATTCATCCGAGAAACCCACTACGGTACACTCACTCACCCATTCTAGTCCTCATTTCATAACTATCAACTTCGCTAACAAGAATAATAAAAAAGGCGGATTCTACGACTTCACATCCGACCTAACCATGAAAGACACCGCCTACACCTCCCTCGCCCTCCCAGCTCACACAGACACAACATACTTCAGTGACCCCGCAGGTCTCCAGATGTTCCACCTGCTCTCCCACACATCCGGCGAGGGCGGAACCTCCCTCCTAGTAGATGGTTTCAAAGCCGCCCATATTTTGCAACAAGAGGATAACATTGCTTACGGATTCCTGCGTACATTCAAGCTCTCCGCCCACGCTAGTGGGAACGAGGGCATAACCATCACCCCATCCAAGGAATTTACGGTCATTGAAGGGTTTAGGGTGGCCAATACGCGGGATCTTCTGAGGATTCGGTGGAATAATGATGATCGAGTTACGCCACGACTGAGTCCAGCTACGGCGGGTTGGTATAAAGCAGCAAGGAAGTTTAATGAGATTTTGAAGAGGAAGGATATGGAGTATTGGGCTCAGTTGGAGCCTGGTAGACCTCTGAGTATGTCCTTACCATTTGTCTCATCGTCCCCCTTGTTTTCCTATATATGGATTTAAGCTAATACAAACCACCCAGTCTTCGACAACTGGCGCGTTCTTCATGGTCGCTCAGCATTCACAGGAACAAGAAGAATATGCGGTGGATACAGTAAGCTAACCACCCCTTTTCACTCTCCGCCTTTAACACCATTCTCCTTCCCCTACCCAAACTCCCAAAAAAGACTGCAACCCCTACCCACAACTCACAACTCCATACTAACCCAAACCTCCCCCAACCAGTAAACCACGACGACTACATCTCACGCTGGCGCAACACAAATTTCACACGCTCCCGGATCCTGCGACATATTCTCTAATAACATCTAACAAGCTCCTTGCTATATTTGCCCTCTCTCCCATCTCTCAATAAAATGTCAGCAATGAAGTACACTACAGTACAGGGACGCTGAATACCATCAGTGTACTGTACAGTACGTACCGGAAGAGATATTTGGTTTCATACCTTGCATGAGAGTTGAGAGTAAAAAGAAGCCATATATGGGAGTAGTAGGTAAGGAGTTGGGACTGTGTATAAGATGTGGATTCTGTAAACATGTACTGTAAGACCTTATGTGAAGAAATAATTTCATCTTTAGTATGAAATGGGAGGTGAGATCTAAGTCTGATGCAGTGATGTGGTCATCTTTAATTGGTGTAAATCGCTTCGTCTCATCGGATACAACCATACACAACCTGACCTGAGTGGCCTGTATCAGAATCAAGATTATATTCAAGATTCGGGAATGCTGTAGTGATTCACGTCAACGGAGAGCAAAAGTCGGAGTTTGTAATAGAGTATATAATTATCAACTTCTCAACCCCTATAAGCAATTGCTTGGCCATAAAAGCCATAATATCAAATTTAGATTGATAGATAGCCATGCCTCGTTAAGCGAGAGCCCCCGCACCCTGCATTTGCTTTGGAGTCTAGGTTACGAACAACTTGAGCGCACATGTCAGCTATATACGTCTGAAGATCTGGGCACAAGAATGCCAATCTGCTCTTCTTTTTGGCCTTGACTACAAGCCATTGCAGCACATAGTGACAAGCTTGGTTTTTGCTGTTTTCCACAACTCGCCCGCCATGCCAAAATCCTCTCAATGGATGACGAGAGCAAAAAAGTCCTCAGAATCGAGTTAGTACTTCCATATCGATGTTCTCTTCAAATTTACCAGGGATTCGACTTCTTGGGGTCATGCTTTGTTGCCGTGCCGGATTAACATTTTCAGAGCGCTTGAAATTGAAGAATTCCACAAGACCAATTCACATTGTCCGCAACTTTGGCGGCACCTTGATAAGCATGCTTACTCTTTTCGTGGTTTGATTCTAGGAAAGCTCCTATGAAACCTTATTTTAAATCAGATTTCGTCGTCACTATCATCATCCTCGTTCTTTGGCTTTATCGTCTTGCTCATGTATGGTCCTAAAACGGTACTCATTAGCACTCTCCTACAACATCAAACAGTTGAACATACCATCAAGCCAATAACCAAGTTTTCGATAGTAATCTCGAGTACCAACTCCGGAAATGACGCTGATCTTCTGGCTGCCATGTTCATCTCTAGCAATACGTTCTGCTTCTTCCATCAGCAAGGTACCATATCCTTGATGTTGGAACTTTCTTGGATCCCGAGCATGGACAGGTACTGCAGAACCGTACACATGCAACTCTCGGACCAGACTTGTGGGCTGACCAGTAAGCTCTGGGCGGAAGGTATGAGTTTTCGAGCATTTTCGAAGACGTAGAAGTCCAATGAGAATATCTTGTTTCGGGTCCTCGTAAGCCAAGAAAGTCTCCCAGCCGTTGTTTGCAGTATAGTCCCGACGAACAAGTTCAACTTGAGACGGACGAATCTTGTTTTTGACTTCATTGATACCAACCTCTCGTGTTCGTACGTCTCGGCAAGTAGTGCCAAAGTCCTTCATTCTGCTTAGAGCCAGCTCTCGTAAATTGCCGTTCTCAACTCCAGATGTAACAAGCGGCATGGGGATATCTCTCTGAACTCGGTAAATTCGAGTCCATGGAGGGACGAGCGCCAAAATCCGAGCTACTATGTCAATAAGAGCATTTGGCGTGTAATTCTTGTACCGTCCTGTCCGCCACAGTTCATACAATCCTGTTCCTCTGATGACAAGTGTGGGGTAGATTTTCAGCCCGTCAGTCCGAAATGCGGGGTTCTCGAAATATTCTCTGAATTGATCCAAATCTCTCTCCATACCAACATTTGGCAAATCTGGCATCATATGACTAACGACCTTGAAGCCGGCGTCTTTTGCAAGACAGAAGGTTTCGGCTACAGATGCAACGGTGTGACCTCTGTTTGTGTCTCTTGCAACATCTTCATATAAGGATTGCACACCAATTTCTAATCGAGTACAACCGTATCGCAGCATTGCAGATAAATGTGGTGCTAGGCAGTAATCCGGGCGCGTTTCGATTGTGATACCCACGCATTTGATGTTGCTCATTTCTCCAGCCTGAACTGCTTCATCGACGTTATTCCCTTGGTATCCACTTAGAGCATTGTGTAATTGAGAAATAAAACCATCTCGATAGCTTTCTGATAGCGACATGAAAGTTCCTCCCATAATAATATATTCAACTTTATCCACACTATGACCCAATGATTTGATCTGATCCACACGCCCTCTTGCTTGTTCGAATGGGTCGTACCGTGCTCGTATTGCCCGCATGGAAGTAGGCTCGTAACCAGTGTATGATTGTGTGGAATATTCAAAATCCGAATCAGGACCTCCAGGACAGTATACACAGATGTTACCCGTATATGCGATGTGTGGGCACCTGTGAGGTTTACACATTACAGCTACCACAGCAATACCAGAGGCACTTCCTGGGATTTATTAGGAGGGGTTCTTGGAAGCATATGGGATCACTCACTGATTGGTTTTGCTATTAACTTTGGGAGAATATATTTCTTGTAATGTTCGGGTATGGCAGCAATAATTGCAGTTAGTGGCGGGATATTGCTCAGCCGGTGCTTTTTAGACATTTTGGATCGCAGAGCATTGAGATTTACGTCTCTCTTCGGCTTTGAGGAGTCCTGCTGGGCTTCGTGATCTTGAACTAGAAAGCTGGCAATATCGGAACATGCTCGAATAAATCGTTCATTTTCTGGAGGAAGATTTGGGTCTCTGGGCTTTCTCTGCCTCTCCGACACTGTCATGACCTCAGTCGCCATGTTGGATGTATTTGCGCTGCGTCGCGCAGTCTTCTATTTGTTGCGCCCTACTTGATATGTATGCGAGGAAGCGTGGGTGCAGGTGTAGGCGTAGGTGTAGGTGTGAGTGTGGGGTGGAGTTTTTTGGGTGGTGGAGGGGTAGTTTTCTGGAGTCGCAAAGATTATTTCAAGCTCCCGCCATTGGTGTTCACCTGGCGAGACCTGGGCACTGCACTCCCACGCCCACGCTGGGACCAGAGCCGGGACCAGAACCGGGACCGGGTCTTTTCGGCAGGGAGCAAGCAGAGGACCGATGCCAAGCGTCAACCCTCGACTTTTGAGCTTCCAGAGGTTTGCTCGCCAAACGACAACCTTGAACCCTCATTTTTCCAATTCCGCCCTATCTCCCTTCATTTTTCCCATTGTCTTCAGCACGATGCAGGCTTTCTCAAGATGCGCAAGACCTCTAGTGCAGGCGGCCGCCCGAAAGCAGGCCTACACGACCAGTGCATACGCTGCAACGGCAGAGAACCTCCGACTCACTAAGGACACCAAGGTCATCTACCAAGGCTTCACCGGAAAGCAGGGAAGGTGTGTTGCTATAGGGGGAACAGATGGGTCATTGGAAGTGTAGCTAACCACAATGCGACAGCTTCCACGCCGAGCAAGCCATCGAATACGGTACGTGTCCTACGAAATGCAAGAACAAAGATGCGATGGATAGGGTCTGATAGCGAACTTAGGTACCCAAGTTGTTGGAGGAACAAACCCAAAGAAGGCTGGAACAACACATCTCGGTTTACCTGTCTTTGCAAATGTTGCAGACGCCGTCAAGGAAGCGGGAGCTACTGCTTCCGCAATCTTTATGCCGTACGGGCCCCCGGCGCAAAACATCTCAGAACTTGGACTTTGGGCTAATATTTCTGCAGCCCACCAGTAGCTGCTGCTGGTATTGAGGAGGCTATCGCTGCTGAAATTCCTCTCGTAGTGTGGTGAGTGCTAAATCTATATCTGTGATAGGATATGGCTTAAAAGAATCGTGCAGTATTACCGAGGGTATTCCCCAACACGGTCAGTTCAAACTTTTGGAAACGACGAACGTCTCTTCTAATTCCTTCCAGATATGGTCCGTATTACAGACATTCTTAAGACCCAAGGAAAAACTCGCTTGGTTGGGCCCAATTGCCCAGGTTTAATTGCTCCAGGGCAATGCAAGATTGGTATCATGCCAGGGTTCATTCACAAGAGAGGTCGTATTGGTATCGTTTCTCGATCAGGAACTTTGACCTACGAGGCCGTAAACCAGACCACACAAGCAGGTCTCGGACAATCCCTCGTTGTCGGTATTGGTGGTGACCCATTCTCTGGAACCAACTTCATCGACTGCTTGAAGGTGTTCCTTGAGGATAGCGAGACTGATGGTATCATTATGATTGGTGAGATTGGAGGATCTGCTGAGGAGGATGCAGCCGAGTTCTTGAAGGAGTACAACACTGCCAAGAAGCCAGTCGTCAGTTTCATTGCTGGTATCTCTGCACCACCAGGACGAAGAATGGGACACGCCGGTAAGTGATCCGAAATATGTAAAACGAAAAAGCAATTTTGACATGAAATAGGTGCTATCGTCAGTGGTGGAAAGGGAGGTGCTGACTCCAAGATCTCAGCACTTGAGGCTGCTGGTGTGATCGTTGAGCGAAGTCCCGCTATGCTTGGAAAGACATTACACAAAGAGTTTGTAAGACTCGATATGGTGTAAGAGGAGCTCAAAGATTGGAGATGAGAATAGAATGATGCACATTGGTGTTAATGCAATTGGGTCTTTTGGTCTTTGGTAGATACCTTCCATTGTCGTGTACAGCTAGCAAATTCCCCTAACGAGAGAACGCCCTACGCTGGCTGTTCTCGTATTCATACCATATACTGTACATTTCGTTGGGTGTGGAATTATAGAAAGATTCAAGTAGAGGAGTCCACTGTTTGAATGATCACATCTTATGAAAAAAAAGTCGTTGCGGGTGAATCTTTATGTCGGACAGAAGAGGTGAGAGACAAGGGTCTCAGCGGAAACAGAGCACAGAGCTTCCAAGCACCCCTCGCGATTGTGACCTCAGCAGCGATCAACATCACAAAACAACAACCACCTTCTCCGCTACTCTATCCACCAAGACCACGATGCTTTCCGGCATCCTGATCTTCAATCAGAAGGGCGAGAATCTAATCTTCAGAGCATTTCGCAATGACTGTCGTCCACGCCTCGCAGATGTTTTTCGCATCCAAGTCATTTCAAACGCCCAAGTGCGGTCTCCTATCTTGACCCTCGGAAGTACAACCTTTAGCCATGTAAAGCACGAGAATATATATTTGGTCGCAATCACGAAGAGCAATGCCAATGCAGCTCTGGTTTTCGAGTTTCTTTACAGGTTGATTGCTCTGGGGAAGGGGTATTTCGGCAAGTTCGATGAGGAGGCTGTCAAGAACAACTTCGTATTGGTGTATGAGCTTCTGGATGGTTAGTTATTGACAATGCAATAATTGCAAATCTGCGAGAGGAAACCGTGTGCTAATTATCTCTGCAGAAATCCTGGATTTTGGATATCCTCAAAATACGGAGACGGATACTCTCAAGATGTACATTACAACCGAAGGTGTGAAATCCGAACGAACGATGGAGGACTCGGCAAAGATTACCATGCAGGCAACCGGTGCTCTTTCATGGAGGAAAGCAGATGTCAAATACCGGAAGAATGAAGCTTTTGTGGATGTAATTGAAGATGTCAATCTCCTCATGTCAGCCACGGGCACAGTCCTCCGCGCCGATGTCAACGGGCAAATCGTAATGCGCGCATACCTTTCCGGAACTCCAGAATGCAAATTTGGATTGAACGATCGTCTGCTTCTCGATGGCGATAGTCTCTCCGCTCTTCCCTCTGGAAATAGAATGGGAACTAAAGCTACGAAAGCAGCAGCAGGAAGTGTAACGCTTGAGGATTGCCAATTCCACCAATGCGTCAAGCTTGGGAAGTTCGATACAGATCGAATCATCTCTTTTATTCCGCCAGATGGAGAATTCGAATTGATGCGATACCGCGCAACGGAAAACGTCAATCTTCCCTTCAAAGTCCACGCTATCGTGAATGAAGTAGGTAAAACCAAGGTCGACTACAGCATTGCGATCCGGGCAAATTACGGTAGCAAGCTGTTTGCCACAAACGTTGTTGTTCGTGTTCCCACTCCGTTGAATACAGCACGAATTACCGAACGCTGCACACAAGGAAAAGCCAAATACGAGCCATCAGAAAACAACATTGTTTGGAAGATTCCACGTTTTACAGGACAAAACGAGTTCGTTCTTAGTGCGGAAGCAACATTAACGAGTATGACCAATCAAAAAGCCTGGAGTCGACCGCCTCTAAGTCTGAATTTCAGCTTGTTGATGTTTACGAGTTCTGGATTGCTAGTTCGGTATCTTAAGGTCTTTGAGAAGAGTAATTATTCGAGTGTAAAATGGGTGAGATATATGACTAGAGCCGGAAGTTACGAGATACGGTATGTTCATCTCATGTTCCATTTCATCTTTCCCCCTTTCTACTCCGGTTGTGTCCCTCCACCCTCGCCAAAACTTTCCTAGGATAGATTACTAACGAAACCGACGACGTAGATTTTAACTTTTGCCTCTCTCGATCTCAAACTCACTTTACCGAAATCGGTCGCTCGAGCCAAGTAGAAGGAAGAAGGCATGGGATTTTACGCGATAGGGCGAGTAGGGATTTTTGAGGAAAGGCGTTCCGGATGATGCATAATCTCGCTTTTCCTCTTTTATTTTGGCTTTCAAATGAATGATTGACTAGGTACAGCACCTTGGAATTTGGAACCTTCTCGGAATTGAAGAGTAGCACAGCAATGGCGTAGGAAGGTAGCATGGGTGGATGGGCGTTTTTTCTTCTTCTTCTTTTTACTATCGTAAGTGGAGATTGGCATGTGTAAATAGGTAGATGAAACGAGGAATTTTGGGTTGTTCAATGCATGGCATGGCTCATTGATCAAAGTGACAAAATGTAAAATGAGTGAGGAGATTCAGGAGGATGGTTTGTTTAAGCGCGTTCTTGGAAGGGATGGAGCGAAGGCTGGTCTATCTTGCCAATGTTGCCATGTGAGGCAGCGAAAGGCTCACCGCGACCCCGCGATCGTTTTCGAGAGTGGAAAGGAGCCCTCGAAGTGCAAGTGAGAGATGGTGGATATTATTCTGGAGAAGATAAATGGGAATCGTGCGTTCCTTTTTTGTCGTGGACTTTGAGGGACTAGGTAGGGAGGTACTGTAGGTAGAGATGGGGGTGAGGTAGGTACCATACACATATGTCGACGTAGATGGATGCAGACAAGCAGCGAGGGGATAGGTGCGGGATGTGGATAGAGTGTAGTGTGGGAAGGAATAACTTGGACGGGGCGGGGCCTTGCAGGGTCGTTGCGATTTTCTTTTTTTGTTCAGAATGTGGGTGTGGGTTTGGTTGAGGAGAGAGCTTTCGTGGGTGAGGGTATTTGGTTCTAGGGGCAGGGAAGATGGTATTGTACGGGTTGGGTTGTTGCTGCCTTTCTTGATTCGAGGGATATCGACATCATTGGTGGAGAGTTGACTTGTATTTGCTCTACTGGGTATTCGAATATTCGTTGACCAGCTCCAGCGTTAAGATGTGGCCCAAGGCTGGTACGTAGCATGCGCAATATATTTCAACGTGGAGAGGAGGAGTACATGGAGACCCGGTCGTCATGCAAGTAAACTTACGAGGTCGATTATCTTACCGAGTGGTGCGTTTCCATGTTGTTGGTGTGGATTACGTAGTCGCATGATTTTATGTCAAGTGGAAGGCGGATTTTTTGACGCGCGGTGTTGCTGGTGGGAATGATGCTGTACGTAAGACTGAGGCTGGAGGTTTGGTTTGGTTTCATGGGGAGTTCAGGTTTGACGGATGGGGGGAAGTGTGAGGCAGGAAGGATATGTAGACTTTGGTTTCTAGGTGTGTTTTGGTCTGGTTGATGTTCTTTTGTTGGGTATCTGTTTTTTGGCATCTATATCTATATCTATGTCTATATCTATGTCGATATCTACTGTATGTCTATCAAATTTCATGAAAGAAAAGGGAATGAATGGGTATATCGCTAAACAGTAAATACTAGCAAGAAAAAATAGAGAAGTACAAAGTACAGTATAGAAAATACAGCTATTGCCAAGTCTAGCAAAAATGAAGAAGAAAAAAGAAGTCCGACTCTTCAAACACAACAGAAAACCAAATACAAGAAACAGAACCACACCTATCCTATCACGCATCTATTTCCCACCCCTAACGCCCTTCCCAAAAGGCGGGATCTCAACAAATATCGCAGCATGTGAATACTGCCACATCAACTCTCTCGTCTCTTTCCCAGCACCTTCTACTTCCTTCGCCTTGGTAGTCGGAGTAGGTTTGGGCGTCGCTTGAGAAGAGGATTTCAGATTTACCATTGCGATTTCCCAGCCGTTTGGGGTGGATTCGTTGAGCCAGGTGATGGGTGAGATGGCATGGAGGGGGTAGTGCTTGTTGATATACTGGTAGTGGGTTAGTTTGGCTTGGATTTGGAGGCGAAGAAAGAAGCGTATGGAATAAGAGGGGAGGAGAAGCCAATAACTTACACTAGTGGGATCCTTTCCTGTCCTGAAAATCCCATCCTCGCACTCCCCTCCCTCCGCAACCATCTTCAACCTCCACCACCCCTTCCCCACCCTCGCCGTTTCCTCACCATCCTCGAATTCATCCTCGCTTTCTCCTTCTCCATCATCCTCGCTGTCTCCTTCCCCTTCATCTTCTTCGTCAACCATCTCGTCGTCACTTTCCTCTCGCTTCGCTCGAGCTCTCTCTTCCATCTCTCCATCCTCGTAAATCTTGCGAAATAGTTTCTCCTCTCGGATCTGCGTCCACTCGTCCCAAGCTTCGTCGCCGAGGACGGGTGCAACCATGGTTTTCAATCCGAGGGCATGGAAGACGGAGAAAAGGATCGCGTCTGTGCCGAGGAGGGAGTAGGGCATATGGTGTTGGGTTTGGCGTCGGGTGTGGGAGTATGTGTGGATGCAGTGTTGACCTAGTGTTCCTCCTTTTCAGAATACTCGTTAGTATCTTGTTCCATGTGATATCGCGAGGATCCTAAGAGGAGTAACATACCATCAGGCATGAAATGGCTGTCACCCAGTAAACCCTTGATCATTTTGAATAATGGATATAACCTCGGATCCGCGATTGGATATCTCTGCAGAATCCCTCCTACCGCTTCGGTTACATAGAGATTATATGTTAATGTTATGAGATGACCACAAGTGACAGGTAGTATGGAATGTGAGGTAGTCCGAGGAAAGGCGGACCAGGTGATCATTGGGTTCAGGGAAGCGGTGGGAAGGAGTGTGGTATGTGGTCGTGTTTGGGGAGGTGATAATGAGGGGTTGAATTGTGGAGTGGGGTGGTGTATTAGTTGTTCTCCGCCTAATTACCTATCAGTAAAGGTACCAATTCAATCTAAATGACTTCAATTACCTTGATGGGCAGAAGGTAGACATATGACTAAAGTTCCAAAATGTGTTCCCCGTCGAGGTGCTGTCTCAAAAGGCTTTTGTGAGTTACTTGTTGAACTGAAGTAAACCTAGCAATATGGTCAGTTCGAATCGTTTTTTTAAGTTGGCTTTTGGGAAGATGTACACTCAACTCGCATAGCTCTGCTCTCACACCCCAATGCTCCTCCCTCTCCCTCCAACTCTCGGTTCCGATAGCATCCCAAAGACTTCTTCCCTTTCCCTTCCCACAACCCTCACCACTTTGTAATTTCAAGTCCGGTAAAAGTACTTGTTTGATGGTGTCTAGGAACCCCAAATCCGCAGGATGAATATCAACCGAAAACTTGTCTTTTTCAAGCTTTGCTGAACTTCTTCGTGTTTTTACCCTGTGACCTCTGCCTGGCTTGTCATCTCCTACTACATCTGGTGTACAAGCAGCCAAGAGATCTTCAATCTCAACTTGCTTCTGAGACTTCCCCTTGTCGTCTTCCGGTGCTGATGGGAGGTGTATTTTCGATACAGATCCACAATGGGTATCGAATCTCAGCGTTATTGGAGGTGAGGTGACGGGAGCTTTGGAGGAGTCTTGAAAGGAAGGAGAGTTTCTTGATGAAGTAGAGATTGGGATACTTCCCCCGCAGCAATAATTTGCTAGAGAAGGATAACCTTCAACTGCCGATTTCAACTGATCGAGGAGACGGCCAGAAGCTTCGGTACCTGAGTTATCGGGAAATTGACGTGGTGTAGTCGGTGATAGAGCAGAAGGCGTAGCAGAACCGGTGTCAGATTCTTGGTCAGAGTCAGAGTCGTGATCAAAGTCTCCAACCTTCAACGAAGTTTTGATTGGACAATGAGAACTTGGTGGCGGCGGCGGAGGAGGCATGAGGGCCATGATTCTGGCGTGGCTTTCGGTAAGAGTGACGTTGGTTTTGGAGAGAAACCAATCGTATAGCCCTAAATCTATGTGGCGCAAGTGCGATATCAGACACTTTTTTCATCTTTTATGCTCGGGACGCGTTCTCATCTATATATTTTCTTCACACCATGATGCCTGGACAGCAGATAAGCAGGCCGTAGGGCCGTTCCAAGTACAGGGGATCAAATTGAATGCCATGCTCTTCTTGTTTGCGCGAGGGATTCATACGCAATGCTGGAATCAATAATACTTGGAGAAGGAGAACAAGGATGGGGCAGTGCCTCCTACCTGGGACAGGGGTTCGTCACGTTGTAAGCGAGGCGAGGCAGAACTTCAGGTGCCGATGTTCTCGCGCCCTATTTTGGTCGCTAGACGTCGAATCCTCAAAGTATTGCTGTCACATTTTATTAATTAATTGACGGAGGCAGAGAATCTTCTGGAAGATGTGACCGTTGCACATGACATTAGCTTCCTTCAATCACTAATTAAGACTGAATCTGCACGCGCAGAAACTCCGACGTTGGGGGCGAGAAAAGATAAGATCATGGGACTCTGTCACAAAACTCTAGAGTATTTAATTGCCAATTGCATCATTGTGTTTGAAAAGATCAAAGATAGGTAGATAGGCGGTGCTTAGGCGGTGGTTGCTATGGAAAGAACTACATTCCTGAGTGAGGAAAGCCACTGGCATTCCTCGAACCAAGTAAACACACAAACATGAGCGTCATGTATATATGATGCGACATCTAAAAAGATATCCCTCAAATGAGAAGAGGTAAGGTCGAAATTCCGCCAGAAAATACGACAATACGACAAACCGACAAACCAACGAACGGACGAACCAACAAATCGACACTCGGTTCGACGGGGAACGACAAATGCGACAACATAACGATACGATCGCTCTAATGCACCCATCACCTGAACTCATTGTCGTCATCTGGTCGCTCGTCGTACTCCTCGTACTGGTAGCTCTCATTTTGGGTAGCTTATGGGCATACAAACGCTGGAAGAAGAGCTGTCTGCATCTTGACGACTTCAAGAAGCTATCTACTGAGGTTCAAGAGCTTAGTGCAAAGACTGCTGAAGTCAGAGAAGATGTTGACCAGGATAACACAGCTGCAGAATGCATCAAGATCACAAATCAAGAACTTCTGAATGCAGCAGATGAATGGGATCAGGGTAATCTCATCGCTCTTACGGCTTGGGAAGACTTTATCCAAGTACAGGAGACCATCAGTGGTGAGGGTGGCTCGAAAGACTTAGAAAAACAACAAACGCAAGGGGACAGATGAATCAATCAACGAAAAAATCACGCCAGATTCATGATCAAGCTCATGAGAGCAAAGGTAGTGGAGGGTATTGAACAACGAAAGGGGCTCAGCGCACAACTTCACAGAATACACATGGCGGTTGAATCCAGGTACTTGAAAAATCTTGCCTCCAGTTTTCTCATCAACGAGACTGATCAAGGAACTTCTAGAAACACGCATGTGCAAGCTGCGCAGGCAAACCACCGCCTCTCGAGTGATCAGGGTTCGAGACGTGGGAATGATGCTGGAGCACGAGTAAGTTGATTCAATGTCTCGATCAAACAACCGAGCTGATACTGGTTCGCAGGGAGAGGAAGACCAAATGTCGTTCTCGTCGTCGCCGTGTAGTACAACGAGCAAATCAAGCAAAACAAGTCGACCGACGTTGCCATCACTCAACTCCCTCAATTTCGCGCCTGGGCCGACTGGCGCCCTGTTCGAGCCCCGGGCAACTCGACCAGCTGTACCTCGGGAACTTCAGCTATGCGAGAAGTACAAGGCCAAACCGATCGAATACACCTGATTTGATAGGGGAAAAGGGGGGTGCAGAGTAAATGTCGATAATCCGTCCTTCTGCCGGCGATAGTGAGTTTTAATCTTAATATTGATGCTGGATTGGTATTGTCGTGAGCCAAATGTGCCCAAGAGAGGTTCTCGGTGGAGATACATAGATTCCTTCGCAGGCCTTTCCTGCTGTCGTTTTTGCCCCTGGCGGTCGGAGTCAGCGACATGCCAGCTATCCCGAAAGAGAAGGAATAACATTTTGGATGGCAGGTAGCAAAATAGCTAGATAATTCGACAACCGGAGAATAAAGATGATTCAGTGAACCCGCATTTGCTGAAAGAACCTTGGAATCGGGAATCGCATTGTGCACGTGCTTGACGTGAATGGGGATGAAACGTCCCACCCGACCACATGGATTTTGCGGGTGCCTTCCGGACTCTTGACAGGTTGAGGTACCTCCGTACTGAAGTTTGTTACTGTGAGGATGCAGCAATTTACGATGATTGATCGATACTGGTACACCACCTGAGAATCCAGTGGAACTATTTGAGCCACCAGAGCGTGGTAATGGCCAACTCACATCTGCTAGGAGCTCACCTGTAATCCATACATATTGACAGCAAGGTAAGTTTTGAACCAGTGCTGTGGGATTGTCCCGTTGGAAACGGATTGGATGATTGACACAGGTTGCCCATACCAACACGATGCCTGAAGGATAGGCATTCTTTAATAATAAAAATAGATACTATTGAACGAAGTACTTCGTACTTCTCGAAGTATCAGGTGGGTGGGCGAGTGGATTAGTGTTCTAAAGTTGGTGTTGTTAAGGTGGAGGTGGGTACGTAAGGGTACGGAGAATAGGAAGACCAAATAAGCGACCCATCCCCATCCCAACCCCGCAAATGTCTTGCGCTTGCTCCTGTAACTCAAAAGCACCAACCCCCGAAGTACTACATCCAAGCTTTACACACAGTACTGAATTAGTATATTTCTGACTACCTCATTCTCGTCCATCTTCAAACATCTCTATACTGCCGCCACTTCGACTCAATACCGCGAATCTGGACTTGGCTTCGACAATTTGAGATAGACGACTCGGATGGCTTCAACATTTGTTGGGAGTAACCAAAGGCACAGGAATCATCCTGCCAGTAATCCAACAAACCAGCCGTTCTGCACATGCGGATACCCTCAGTATTCTGATACTGTAATCTTACTCCTTGCCCACCACTCAATCGGCTCTGACCGAACATCTTCTCACCAGGTTAGATTACCCGCATCTCCAAAGGGTACGAGGTACCCGTCATCTGGGCTAAATATCCCATTCCAATGGTACCCAGATGGCCTGTCACGAACTGGTTCGCCAGCGTTGCAGTCAGTAGCTGCATTGCGATCGCTGGGAGTGCTCGTAATGGCTGTGTTTGCATCCTACCCAAGCCCGGCATGCATCCTCCCATCTGGCCAACCAACTGCCGTTCCTGAGCCCTACGGATCGGCTCCCGGTCCCAATCTGGTTGTAATCTGCACTTCTCTTCTCTGCACCAAACTTTGTTTTCGTTATCGGGCATCCCGAGAGCTGCAAGTGCAAGTATGAATCGGAGATATCGCGGATGTCGTGCAACCTCATGTCTAGACCTCAATATCTGCCATCTAGAAAGTCCTTCTGCGCGTCACCGGGCTTCCAATGACTCGCCGCGAGGATCCTGATGGCATCGTACCAGTATTGTCAAGATGCCAGCAGGTGTGTGTGGTCAAGAGGTGGCTCGTGCCGTGAGGCGTGTACGAGCCAATTGTTCCTTGGGTTGTCATTGTGGCTTTTCTGATACGCGTACTGTAGTCAGAGGGAGTAAAAATGCTTCCTTAATTCTTGGAAGGGCTCCTTCATGGACTTATTCTGAGATTCCTCCAAGGCACCACGGATAAATCACTGTATGGATCCCTCAAATCAACAGACACAATCCTCTGTTTAACTGAGGTGCCGGAGAAGAACATCGAGCTGTAAGTGCCCAAACCTTATATTGGCAAAGCACGCGGCGTCTGGCTCTCGAGTGGCATCATGAAGGTTGAATTCGCTCTCGTATTGAAGTGGGATACGAGGATGGGAAAGTCCCCGAAACTGGCGATACAGTATGAAGCACTTACGAAGTACTTCCCCAGTCTCTTCGTAAATGTAGCAGGACGTTTCGCGAACCTAGAACCTGGGGGAACAAGCAAGTCGCATACGCAGTACAAAAGACCCTGTAAAGACCCTGTACGGTAGAAGACCCTGAAATAGACTAGCATCTACCCTACCGTTTTGCCTCACTTGCGGAGGGAATGCACCAAACACTCACGACACTGTAGGGACCCCATTCAATGAATTGGTTTCATGCGGATGTTAAGCGATTCGAAACGGGCCATACGTTTGGCAGGAATGCGAGTTTGTCGGGTCCTCAAAACAGCCATAATCTTGGTAATCATGCTCTACATATACTTCCTCGTCACTGCTTGATTTTTAAGTTTGATTTACCCACTTTTCTCTTGGTACTTACTTCAGCATAATACTACTTAAGCGGCCCGATGGGCATCATTCGGACCAGACGGTCCGGTCCGTCCGCTCGGATGGCAAACTTCAAAATCCAAACGTACAGTTCTTACTTCGTACATAAAGTACTTACCAAGCTTCTTGTGGGTGATGTTTTCGCCTCTCTTGCGACGCATGCTTATTTTGGAATCCTTGTTTTCGACTCCGAGGCTGTTTTGAGCCGGGAACCTCTTTCCTGGGGTTCTGTTGCCTGCCCACAATTTTCTATTTGGATGAAATACCCCGCTACACAAGCTTCAGTTGTTAGCAGATCCCAAAAATGAACGGATCCCACCGCCCTCGATGACTCGGCGTTTCTCCTATAATCTTGTTTTACGTATGAGTAGGAAACGCGTGTTTATACCACTCGGCATTCAAAGCCAACATATATGAAAATACACAACTGTCGTCCTCACGGCACTCTTTTCGGTGATGGTTAGGATTGGGCTTCAGGTTAGTGTTAGTAGAACACTCTCTTAAATACCCAAAATTTGATAGATATTCACTAAACTCGCGTTAAGATGCCTACAATTGCTGGTGGTACGGAATACCGTAGTGTATATTTTAACGAGGCTAGTCTAGTGTTTTTCGGTACTTCGTGACGCGGCGTACCCACTTCCCCTATTCGGTTAGTCAAACAGCATTATACTTGATAGACGTAGGAGGATCTAAATAAATGACTAGCAGTTTGATTAATCACGATATCCCCGCTCATTCTCAAACTTCCGCTGCCAGCTCGGCTACAAGGCGATAATTTATGTTTGCTCACACGTCGGTAGAAGCCGCTCATGTGGCGTATCGAACTTCCCAGGCACGCTGGGGTGTGTGGGTGGAGTACGGAAGCTTCCACTCGCCAGACGACTGGATTCTTATGCCATAGAACATTACAATGAGTGGGACCCGTAGAGGGCTGTCCTCTGAATGGTCAGAAAAGAAGTCTTGCCAACCTCTGCTACTCCATCCGCACCGCCCAACATACTTCATTGACAAGTTCGACTTACTATACTATGGGTCGACTCCAGACGATCTTACAGTATGTCTTTCTCTGATCACTACGCCATGTTCCCACTATTGTTCTATTTCAGGCTATGTGGATGGGTTGAGTATGGCTTTGTGGTTATGATGATCCACGGTGTAAAGAGTATGGACACTTAAAGGTGGACACTGTTAGTCAAAGCATATGTGAGAAAAGTATATATCGCCCAGATCCGAGTCTCTGATTCGCTGTTCCAACAGAAAAACGAGGCCAAGCTATAATACGATTATACGAAGTATGGTCAGGACAGTGTCCAGCCTCGCTTCTAACTGGCTACCCTTTTTATGCACAATTGACGTACGCAGTTTCGAAATCACCTTTAGTATCTTTACAAATCCACTTTTTGATGATCCAAACGATTTGTATATTATTAACACCCCTTAAAATAAAATACAATCACTTTCTCCGGATTTCTCATTAATTACCTATCCTTTTTCTTTGGCCGCACTGGTGGATGTACCTTTTTTCCTTCTATTTTTTTGCTTACTGGTCCTCACGAACGAGTCCGTTTTTCCTTTCTCATTTCCTTTAGTTCATTTCAGTTTGTCATATGGTCTGCTGCGGTTGAACTTCAGCATTGCTTTTGTCAGTTTCTTTTCTTTTTTGAATCGCCCAAGATGGGATTGGGTATATTGAACAATATCAAGTACCCAACTCCTCCGGGCACTGTCACCCTTAAAGAAGAAGTCAACTCATCAAAGTTGGAGGATTATAATTATGAAGAGCCAAAGAAGATAGGTGACATCGTTCTCAACCCACAGCCTACAGATTCCAAAAATGTATTGCAGCCCTTGATCGTCACAAGAAGAAAGTCCAAACTAATGTAAACAGGATCCTCTCAACTGGTCACAGACAACCAAAATCTGTATACTGCTGATCCTTTCTCTAAATGCTGGTGTTACTGCTTCGTAAGTTAGTCATGGCTCTTTCCTGAAATTCATAGCTAACCGACTTTAGTCTTGGTCCTATGATTACCACCGGCTTCGACGAGATAGGCGCAGCATTTCATGTCAATGCTGACCAGATATCTTTCAGCCTTGTTGGTGTCTTGCAACTTACAACGGGATGTGGAATTTTCTTTACCGCTGCAGCTGCAGCGGTATGGGGCAAACGACCGGTCTTCTTTCTGTCGAGTCTCGTTTTGCTGGGAACAAGCGCTTGGGGATTTTTCGCGGGCGTAGGTGGTGGTATAGTATACTCGTAGAGAACTACACTAACTCACAATAGAGCCACTTTTCTCTGTCGATGATGAGAATGATTCAAGGGTTCGCATCAGCACCTCTAGATACACTCGTATCTGCGACAGTTGCAGAGCTCTTTTTCATCCATGAGAAAGGCACGATGCTAAGTATCGCGAACCTCTTCGTATTGGCAGGTTCCAAACTCGGTCAATTCATTGCCAGTTTTATCATCCAGAACCTCGGATTCAAATACACCTTCGGCATATGTGCCCTCATCTACGCCATGGTCGTCCCTCTCATGTATTTCTTTGTCCCCGAAACCTTTTACCGCGCCAGAGAGGACGAGACACAGCTCATCTTCGACAAATCCTCCCTCAGCTTATACGAGATCGTCCTTCCAGAGATGAAACACACATACTCACAACGTCTTCGAATATTCCAAGGCCGTGTATCTGATGCCTCCTTCTGCCGCATGGCCTTCAAACCGATTCCTCTCGCCACTTTCCCAGCTGTGCTTTATGCAGCACTTACATTTTCCGTTTATGCAGCCGGCCTCACTCTCATCGCTCTCCTCCAAGATAACGTCTTCTCCGCACCACCCTACAAACTCTCCTCCTCTTCCATCGGTCTTCTAAACCTCCCCCTTTTCGCCGTTGGTCTCGTCACTGGTCTTGTAGCCGGATGGTGCGCCGACTTCGTAGTCCACTTTCTGACAAGCCAAAACAACGGTGTTTACGAGCCTGAATTTCGCTTAGTCCTTATGCTCATCGCCGCCGTCGGATCAAGCGTCGGCTACGTCGGATTCGGATACTCCGTCGCTGCCGGTGCCAATATCCTCATTCCCACTGCCTTTCTTGGTCTTCAGACAGCCGCGGTGCCATTTGCTACAAGTGCCATGTTTACATATGTCATGGATTGCCACTCTGGACATGCGGGACAGGCTTTCGTCACGATGAATTTCACCAAGGCCGTGGTGGGATTTGCCATGTCGAAGTTTGTCAACGGGTGGTATCACACTAGTGGCGCGAAAAGTGTTTTTACGATTGTTGCGATTGTCCACTTGGCGATCTCAGCATTGAGTCTTCCCTTGTATATTTTCGGAAAGAGGATGAGGAGTTATATTGCGCGAAGCGATTTCCATCTGGGAATCTAAGAAAAAAAAGTACAGCGTGTGTTTTTGGGTATTAGCGATTGGGATTGGCGTTTTTTCTGCTTGGCATGAATCTTGGGACTGGTTTCCCTTTGGCGTTTGGGATGACGTGAAAAGGGGTTTATGCAGTACCTCGAGTTGATGATTTAATGACTGCAGGGCATCATTTCTTCTTGCAGTCATGTTTTCATATGGGCGGCGACTTCATCATTCTTTTGCATATGGGGCATGTACGCATGCCCATACAGTCATTGCCCATTGGGTGATCTTACCTTGGGCTGTTTAAAGGACATAAATCCTTTATGGTTATACACAGAAAACTCGCTATCAGGATATGGTCGGGTACGGATGTACCAAGGATATAAGCGAGGACATCCTTATGGCGAGTTCCTTGACATAGGCGACGGCAAGGTTATATATTTAATTATTAGGAATTTATAAGCTGGTTACTTATATGGGATTTGTAAGATATGTAGCATTATATAGTCGTATCTCCAAGTCCTACCTAGGTAGTTTTATACCTAAAAATCTTGGAGTTTTATATAAGGTTAATTACTTATATCCGATCAATACCTCGGAGTCAGATGCCCGTAAGGATATTTTTACTATAAAAACGTCTTTAGAACCTAAAAATCTAAGGATATCCTTAAATAAAGGCTGCAGGTGGGTGGTCGTCGGGGTAATGCGGGCCGAGGGGTCGGGGTAGGAGCGGGTGGGTCACGTGGGTGAACCTAGTACCAAAAGCCTTTGTAAAGAGGGTCTGGGTACTGAGATAAATATGAAGTAACTAGAACTAACATCCATCAGCGTAAAGATTGGAGTACCTACTTAACTTAACTCAAGTAATAAAAATAGTAATCTTAATACTCTACTTTACTTACTAAGTACCTATTTAGCTTAATCAGTATTTAAGTAGTACTGAACAAGTCGGCCCGAGTCTTTGTAGCGCGCCCGCCATTCTTGCGATTCTTGCGATATACTAGTCCGTCAATTGAATTTAGCCGAGCTTTTGTAAGTCGAATATTTTGTCTTATTCAATAGTAGAAGCTAGTCGATAAATAATTAGTATCTGTCTATAGGTATAATAGCTCGTAGTAATGATATAGAGATTCTAAAAGAATGTATTTCTAAGTAAAATGCTATTTATGGTACAACTTAAGTATTACAGTATTAAAGTTGTAAATCAATTACTTAACTTAACTAAATTGAAAATTTATACTGAACCTGCTCTACTTGATTAGTTCAAGTCTACTTAGCTAACTAATTAAGATTCTAATAAGCTGTTTTCTGCTCGTACTATCATTTACTTACAAATCCTGGCAGCCCCTTGTACCGTCATTGTCCGATCTCTAATCGGGCCTTAATAGATTGAAAGTTCGAGATGCTGCTCGTATCATGATACCTACAGTAGCTTTAGAGTACTGCACCTCCTCTCATACAAATGCTACACATCTGCTAAACAATACTATCTTGACCATCTGCACCCCCCATCCCCACTACAAGTTCTACTTCCATAGCGACTACCTACTACATCTTCCACCGAGGCATCACTTCAACCAAACAACTCCTTCACCATAATGCAAGGACCATGAAAGTCCTCCCAGCACTCACTCTAGTCTTCTTATTCACAGGCTCCGCAGTATCACTTTGCATCCGAGGGGGATTATCCAACTGCGATGTGCGTAACCACTCCCCAACCCACCGAGCTAAACCACCTCTTCAGATCCCCAACAAGCTAACAATGAATAGAGCGACGACCAAGCTCAGAGGGTCAAATTATCCAAGTTCATTATAAAGACTCCATACCACGATGGGACTAAGGAGGGACACTGAGATAAAATAAATGCGATGATGAAAGAGATGTTCCGCACGATGATAACCTGAACATGTGCGAGGGTGTCTGAAGGCGTGGGTCGGGGTGGTACTCGTGATATGTAGGTTACATCTGATGTCTTGAGATTTGGTAACGCAGTGGGTGTTGACGGTGGTTCTAGTTTACTTTTCTTTGAAGCGATGTGGGGGATTGTGCCATGGAATTTTCTGTCTTGGGTAATCTTGCGGTGGACAAAATTGCAGCACTGAATAGCCTCTTGTTGCAACAACTCAATGCCTATTCAATCCTAGTACCATAAATTGGTCTGTCTATTTGAAATGATCAAAATGATTAACCGAAATTCTGGAAAGATCCAAGCAATTGCCCCGACAGATTCGAGTCGACCGCTATAACTTGGTGCGTTGACTTGGTCTAGAAAGAATGAACAATATGAAAGCCCTTTGCTGTCACCCCTCTTGTGCACTGGAAGATATTTTAGGCTTAAGGTCGCCCGACTCTTCCGACAGCCTACTTGGCTTACTTGAGACTACTACAAAACAGTGTGTTTGTAGAGAAACTACAATTCCTGAGAGACAGGATTAGACTAAAGTGTTTCAGTATCCGACTGAGCTTTGAACGAGGATCATGATCTATAATTATGTATCTACTTTACAACCACGACGAAACCAACAGACTACAGTCAGCATTGCACTCAATCACAGCCATATCGACTAGCCTCGACTGAAGCAGGGCAAAATTCAACAAGTAGCTCAAGTCAACGCCTCTACCCATTCTCCCAAACTTCCACTAAACCAGATGACAAACCCACGTTTCTCAAACAAAGGCCATACATCCCACGTCCACTCCATACCCCACACCCCACACCCAAGATTCAAGAACACGACAGAAAACTCAACATCCCGAATACCGAACTAAATCTAATCTTCAGGTAGTAGGCAGTAAAATCCTATGCTCGAAAATAAGCGAACCGATTCACTTCGTACTCAACAAGACAAGTCAAATGCACTACCTCAAACCTAACTAAAACAGAAAACAACCATCACCAACCATAAAATGACCACCTCCCAACTCCCCAAGAACTCGTAAGCCTGTCCTAATCTCTACCTACCTAGAACATGTCAAAGAAATGATCACATGATCAGCATATAAACCTGCAGGTATAGGTGGGGAGCCCGACATTATTGTATTTATCAACTTTTGAACATACGATTCGGCTAGAAAAAGAACTATGGAAAACCACGGGGAATATGAATAGGCTATTCGCACTGTAGTCCATCGTGTTCCCTCGTTTCGGAGACATATGAGGGTAGAGATGCATTATGTGACTTGCAGTCTTCACTATAAGATCTCACCAGACTGATTGAGGAATCGAAACTGAAAAAACAAAACACCAAAAATATATCAATCATCAATAGCATGAACGAAGGAAAAGCACAAGACGCAAAGTATAAAGTGGCCCTTGGAGATTTAAATCAGCTCAATTAAAGAGCCGATGCTCATGCATTATTCATCCATCCCTCCGCTCTAGAATACAAGTGCCACGAATAGAAGACATCGGCATGCTTTCCTTCCCCCGACCCCGGCCCAAAAGGAACGAACCTATGCCTGCCAGCCAGCTATCCTACAAGTACAAACCTTCGGGTTCACCCTCACTCTTCGTCTTCAATACACGTTCTCTTGCGGCTCGGAAATCGGCCATTTGAACACGCATACGTCTCTCTCTCAATGCCATCAAACCAGCCTCGGAACAGATTGCCTTGATATCAGCTCCTGACAAGTCGTCCTTTTGGTTGATGAACTCCTCGAGGTCTACGTCTTCGTTCAATGACATTTTGGAGGTGTGGAGAGTGAAGATCTTGCGCTTGGTGACTTGATCGGGGTTCTCAAAGAGAATCTTTCGATCAATACGTCCAGGTCGAATCAACGCAGGGTCAAGTGTGTCAATCTTGTTGGTTGCCATAATGACCTTGACGTCTCCTCGGTCATCGAAACCATCAAGTTGATTTAGAAGCTCTAACATGGTACGTTGAACTTCCTTCTCTCCTCCGGACGTGGACTCGTATCGTTTCGTACCAATGGCATCGATTTCATCAATGAACACAATGGATGGTGCATTCTCAGCAGCGACCTGGAGTTTGTTAGTTAGTTGTAGAAGTCAAAATTTTGCATTACCACACACCTGGAAAAGTTGCCGGACGAGCCTTGGACCATCACCCAAGTATTTCTGAATTAATTCACTACCGACAATACGCAAAAATGTTGCACTTGTCTGGTTTGCGACGGCTTTTGCCAGCAGAGTCTTTCCGGTACCTGGCGCACCATAAAGAATGACACCCTTTGGGGGCTTGATTCCCATCTCTTCGTAAAGCTCTGGGTGAAGTAATGGTAACTCCACCGATTCTCGAACCTCCTGAATCTGGGTCTCCAAGCCTCCAATATCCGCGTAAGACTCCGTCGGTGCTTTATCAAGCTTCATGACTGTCACAAGAGGATCGGCATCATCAGTGAGAACACCGACGATAGACACTGATTTGTGATGAAGCAAAACACTCGCACCAGGCTCCAGTAAGTCCTTGTCGACGAAAGACATGATAGAGACATAGTACTCGGGCCCAGTCGTGCTTGAGACAATGGCATGATCATCATCAATCATCTCCTCCAGAGTACCGACGCCCATTGGACTTCCTCGCATATCATCGACCCGTCCTCGCTCATCAGCATTTCGATCCAGGGCGTCAGAGTCACCACCGGCCGATGCTGGTGCGCCACCTTCCTTTGCTGACTTGGCTTTGCGGAGGCGTTCCTGGTTCTCGACGTATTCTTCTTCCAGTAGGAGATGATCGTGAATTCGCTGCATCCGAAGATATCTTAACTTGCATCGAGAAGTTGGGTAGACGGCGGGGAGCTTTGCAGAGGCATTTGGACCTGCGGCCTTGCGCTTCTTGCGCCCAATTCTAGTTGTTGGTCGTGGCGGAGGTTCGTACTTTGGCTTCTCCTTCTGTTGTCGCGGAGTAATTAGCAATCCAATCCAGTCTCAGTATCGCCCTTCTTTGCAATTCTCTTCCACGCTGGCATGTATACCTTCTTAGACTTTTCATCCTGACTGTCCCCCCCTTGGCCAGCACCGCCCATGCCCGATTGTTGATTTCCCTAGGATGGCATGTTAGCTTTGGGTTATAGGCTTCGGGTGACAACAGCTTACCATCTTGGCCTCTGCTCTCTATTGAGAGATTGCAAAGCTGGAATCTTAGAAAAGCCCAAGTTAGACCTGCTCGGGTGATACCAAACCAATTCTGGTAATGTGGTTGAGGTTGTTGATGGAACCGGCGTTCTGGTATCGAGCTCCTTGGGCTCGTACTTCAGCCCAGGCGACAGACAACGCGAGGCCAGCCAACCTAAGCTTGGCGCTAGTCTCAAGTCACGTGGGGATCTCTGTACCTCCCGTCCAGCGCAAGCACAAGCTCTAGCTCAAGGCCCGGGCTCAGAGAAAAGTAGGTACAGGGAGGTATGGTGCTATCGGAGGAATATCGGCATACCCCTGTCAACTATCAACTTTACTCATAGTTGGGAGCTGCAGTCGGTAGTGCAACCCTTCTACAACTATTCATTCTCATTCTCCCCTCTGACTGGAACACGTACCAAAGCAGAGGCAACGCCGATTAATGTGTCGCTGTCATTTCTTCCTTCTGCTGTTTTTTTCATGACCAATTCACCCAATTTCTGCACATCAACAGCTTCCTCTGGTCTCCCTATTCCCCGCGCTGATTCGCAGTCGCAGTCCGATACCCCGCCAGGCAGCCCAGGCGTCACAGCACAGCGAACAGCATAACAGCAGGCAAGCAGAATACTGCAGACGCCCGATCCAACTCAACCTCAGCGAGGCTTTCTGTAAGTTATTGGACTCGAATCTGGGATGAATGCATCTTTGTTCAGGAGCCTTAAAACAGCTCTTTTCTCGGTGAACTCGGGCGCTGATTCACATGGTCTTCGGTTTGACAGAAGTAGCAACAATCATCACACGACCTCAAGTCACGAACATTATACAAAAGATAACGAGCCGTCTCTACAAGTGCGAACCCTTGCTACCCAGACCTTATCTCTTTCCAGACTTCCCATTTCAACTTGAAGACCCTCCGTCAAAGCCTCGACGCAAACCGAACCGACTCGAACACGTCCAAAATGACTTCCAACCGAATTCGTAGAGTCGCCAAAGAGTTGGCCGATATCCAGAACGATAGCGACTCGAGAATTTTCTGTGAGCCTTCCAATGATGGCGGTGATCTGAACCATTTGCGGGCAACTTTCCCAGGTCCTCCCGATACGCCTTATGAGGGTGGAACCTACATTGTAGATATCAAGATTCCACAAGAGTACCCTTTCCGACCTCCAGTCATGTTCTTCACAACCAAGCTATGGCATCCAAACGTCAGCTCACAGACTGTAAGCTCAGCCTACTCCTATAACTTTTGAGCGGAGCTGACATATAATAGGGTGCTATTTGCCTTGATACTCTTGGTACAGCCTGGTCCCCAGTTCTTACTATCAAATCCGCTTTACTATCCCTCCAATCACTTCTTAGCACCCCGGAGCCAAAGGATCCACAAGATGCCGAAGTTGCCAGCATGTTGATGAATCATCCAGAAGAGTTTCAGCGTATTGCTAGGGAATGGGCTATCAAGCATGCATCTGCTCCGCCACACACATCATGGGACGTTCAGTCTTCTAAGAACATCCTTCCTGCCAAACCAAAGACCAAACAGGCACTCTCCAAGGAAGAGGAAATGCGAAAGTACCATGGCTATAACAAGGATCTCATCGATCGGTTCGTAAATATGGGGTTTGATATTGATCGGGTTGTGGAGGCATTTGAATTTGTCCATATTGACAAGAATAATGGGGAGGATTATGAGCTTGAGGAGGCATACATGGGTGATATTACGGCTAGACTCTTGGGGGAACCATGAAGAGGGTTTAGTTTTTGGCTGAGGGGTAGTTTGGCGAATAACTCAAAGGCTTGAGCGGTGGTGGTAAAGCGACCCCAGTTAGTCTGACGGTTTGATGATTTGCATGGCTCTGGCGTTTGGAAAGAGGATTTGCTTACTGGGGGATATACGGCGTCATTTGGCGCTAGGTCTGCCTTCTGCCTTTCTTGTTAGGAATTGACCACAAATTGATATTATGCCTCTTTTGATAGGTTGTGGTGTGAATTGCTGTTATATGTAGATGTGCAGTTCGTTTGGAAATATGTGTGCTGACCAAATTAGTTTCTTGCATTGTGTCTGGATGTGACTGCTGTTACTCGCTAAAGTAATCAATCTTTGTTCTACATGAACCCACTACAAGAGTAAGATTGTGTGAAATAAACCCATTGAGATAGTCAATTTTCAATTAATAAATGAAAAATGCTTGATTTTCTGATACATTTTACCGCAACATCTTCCATGAAGTGAGAGTAAGCTCTCTTACAATAATATTTGGTTGAGGTGTCTCCTCCATCCATTCTTAACCTTTACCTTTGTTTATTGGTTTCTCACTTTGTCAATCTATTGATTTTTGAATTCTATATGAATGCTCTATTATTTGGGCTACTGTGGATGCTTCCTGGTTTCTGTGGTTTTTTGTGGTGTGAGAGTAGAGGTGTACTTACCTTGAATGTATCAAGTAAGTACTCATTACTTCTGATTATCGTTGAATTTGGCCTTTGGTTGTTATACAGTAGTTACTCTGCTCCTTGAGCTATTATAAAGGAATCTCTGCTTTGATGGTTCTGAATAATGCAGGCAAGAGGAGAAGCGTACTTAGTAGTATATTTCTATGAGGCGCTGCGTAGTTTTTGATATATTTGGCTTCTTTGATTCTTTTGTTTGAAGGGTGGTGGGTGCATCATATATTCTAATGAGTATCATAAAGTCCTTTTGGGGTTTGGGGGCCATGTGGACTTTCGATAGATCTGTTTCCCTATAAATGTGATTCAAACAGTATTAAACACTTCATAAAAAAAGCCTTGTCAGTTCACAGAGCTCTGACAAGCAGTGATGCATTCACCACTTCCTCGTAAGTCTTTACATCCTTGTTTGCTCGTGGTGGTGGTGGTACGGATCATCTGTAATGGGAAACAAATAATTGGTTCCATTTCTTTGACATGGAGATGGTGAACTGAATCTGGCTAACATAAACCTTCATTCATTGGCTACATTTCTTCGTGGAGCTATGGTTCTATTCACAATGGAAGCAGTTCATACCTCAGAACAGTCTAGAAGGGCAACTGGTGCCGACTGTATGCCACGGAGGTGACATACAAATACGCAGTGTTTTGAGTGGTCTGGTCAGACTTTTGATCTACAACAACATCTACCCACAACCTCTTTTCTAAACACTCCTACCAAAAACACCTGCAAAGACTAAGTACGCAAGCCTACTTCAAACAGCATAGTCTCAAGCAATCTACCTACCTCTACAACCAGAGTACTCAAGCTCGCCACTCCTCCACACCACACAACGAAACGCCACAAAATCCAACCTAGCCATCCAACACTACGTCAAAATGCCTACCTCTGGAATGGCTTTCTGGCTTACAGTCCAACACGACAAGGCTCCTCGACCATGGCAACACAACCCTAAGCGGGACCTCCCCAAGGACTCCACCACCAAGTAAGTCCCCTACCTTCCCCCATCAAATAATCCACCTTTCGAACACTGCCACCGACTAACTTCTCCAGGGACGAGATTATTGAGGAGGAGGAGCCCAAGATTCCTATTTCAGAGCGAATCAAGACTTTCTTTTTCGAGCCGCGTCGCTAAGTTCTAGACTTGTGATGATGATCTCGCATCGATGTTCTCTTTTGCCGAGAGGGGAAGGGGGGTTGATTCGGGTATCTGGATAGAGGGATGATTTTGAGGATTGTATTGGGATTCTGGCGTTCTGATTGGTTCCTTCTTTTTATTCTTTTCTAGAATGGGAAAGAGAAAAGTTGGTGCCTTGATTGGGAAACCTTCCGAGACTAAGGAAGAATGGGTATGGATAGAGATTGGTCTTGGCTTTGATTCGATGGGTGAGATGCCTTTGCGGATTCTCATGCTAGATAGCGGGAATTGAGGACTTTTCTAATCTATTTTTGTGCTCATATATCGCTTGTGGTGTGAATTTAAGGGGAGGTAGGGTTACGTACTTTGGGGTACTTGGCTAAGTGTTAGTGACAAATGGTGGGTTTTCTTGTACATTGGTTATTATAACTATTATACGGCTCCTGGCGAATAATAAAGTTGACAGAATTTTCTTTTGTTAGCGTAACTTGATTCAAACCATTTAATTAGTCTAGTTATTTGGACTAATTAAAAAAGTCGACAACATCAAAGTAAATGGAATTGTATCTCTCCAAATTAAGGTAGACTGTTATACGCTAGAGAAAAGAAGAAAAAATATTGTTACTTATCTCGTCTACGAGTAACAGGAATGAATTATACTTAAGGATGTTGGTCATGTGATTAAAATAGGCGATGTAGAGGCGAGCAGATGGAACTTTGGATAGCAAATACCACATTATGCCTAGCAGCGATGGTAAAATTGGTTGTTCCATTTCCCTAAAAATGTAGACTCAGATATAGTGGAACACCAGGTCGTCCATTAACGTAATCTCAGGGGAAGTGGATCTGCTGGCGTTAATAAACTCATTTTAACATATGACCTTATACTAATTGTGCTTATTAATTTACTTGAAAGCTAAGTTTATGGATTATCTTCGTATTTGTGTTTGCATCTTATTCTGTCTATTCTAGGCTCGTAAAGGAAGCATTGACCTAAACTCACGTTCTATATACAACCTTCAAGGATATATAAGCAAAGCTTTTCTGAGCCATGGAAGGTATGTATATTAACTGGGTAATTTACCAATAGTTTTCAACAGCCATTTGTTTTACTTCTCCATTAGTTGACCAGTACGACCGACTTTATATTATTCATGAGATTCAGCCTTCTGCCCTTAGACACGCTTCCTTTCATGGAATCATGGTTATACAATCACTTCCCACTAGCGTACGAATAGCGTAGCAATAGCTCTATATAATACTCGCCTGTATACGATTCTTTTAAACTGACCGCCATACTTATCTATCTTGCAAGAGACTACAAAATCTGTTACTCCCAGCTCTTTGTTCACAATAATATTCCCACATCATTTGTTTCTTATAATTATTTATGTGCTGGCACTGCAGTAGAGTCGCAAGCCAAAAGGTAAGACTAGATCAGTCAGCACTCGTAGGTATGAACGTACATGGATAGAAACCAGAGATTCTTCTTTGAAATCTCAGGGCCTTTGAGAAGAGAAACCTTTACTAAACACATTGAAACTCTACACATATATATTGCCTAGGTAAGTCCATGAAAGTCTCTTTTTTCCAAAATTCAGAAAAGGACTTCTGATCAATGATATACGATCAGAGAAATGGAACATTGTATTATCCCTAATATATCTTTGACCAGAAAAGGGGACCCTTTTTTAGATCTGTGAACTGTAAGACTGATGGCTCTCAGAATTGGGTGCTTCGTGAATAGGCCACCACGAATGTTTTTGGCCAATTGGGGGAATAATACTATTGAGCGTGAATACTTTTAGGTAGCCAATTTCAACATTTGTTTACATGTCAAGACGCTTGAATGAAACAGAGATGATATCAGACACAATTTGGGTACCTCAAGCGAATTGTACAAGTTGGTCATCAAATTCCTCCCGCCTGTAGACCAGAATGGAGGAAGGTGGGTGCTATTATTTCATACTGTTGATGGGGCAAGAACCTGGCTGGCTAAGTGCTGAATAGAAAGCGTTATGATTATTGCACTATTGATTTAGTAGGTTTCTAGAGTTGATCATTTTCGCTGTTTTTTCAGATAGTATCTTGAGAGTCATATTTTCTCCTCTGAAATTTCGCCAACTAAGAAAGGGTTGGGTCATGTTTCGTCTCAGATTGAGCACTCATGGCTCAAGATAGCATGAAGTAAAAGCGATGAAATCGAATGATTACTATAAGATCTACTAGGAAAAATACGACAGCCATTGATAGCAAAGTCAAAGGTATCAAGTGAAGAACTTTACTGCAACAGCTTGGTAGCAAGGTCTTCATCGGTGGTGACCAATAGACCTTATTATTAATATCTTTGCGTATTTGTCTGAGCCACGAGAACAGTATTTCAGGAGCTTAGCAACAAGATTCGAAACGATTTCGTTCAGACTATGTAAGGCAGACTCGGCGTAGCAATGAAACAACCCCTTAATAATCATCGTCCATTCCCCAGCAAGTTTCAAGGCCTGGTTCTTGGCTTCGAAGAAGCTGGTGCTGTTCATGAGACTCCACGATCAAAGTCGGCCTCTTGCTTTTTCCCAAGCCCGCCTTCGCAAAATTTGTCACGGTTATTCTATTGATGCTATTTTGATTTCAAAAGGTGCATGCTTGTCTTGTGGATGAAGTTTATTGGATTAATCTTTGTACATTTCTCAGCTGCATCTATGCCACTGGAGGTTCCCCTCCTCCAACGCCGAACATCTCTTGGGGAATGATGGTGAAGTTCGCATTTGGTGCTGCGGCAGCATTATATTTTGGGTTTGCATAGCCAGTATAGTTGTAGTAGGTGTGTCTAAGAATCATAAGCTTCAAATCTCCAACCACAAAAAATCGAAAAGTACTCACGCTTGCTCTGAATCGGTCCACCCGTAGCTGACTTGGAGGTGAGCGCCAGTTCCGGTTTGATTGACGGGTAACAATTTGGCAACGAGAGTTCGGTTTTCAGATCCGCCATCGTTGAATGTACATTTGCGGTAATCAGCACCTTCTTTTTCTCCGAGGCACTCGGCAGAGAACGCGGGTATGGTTGGGTATTGGCCGAATGTGTTTCCGGTGATGTTAAAGCCTGAAAATATCGTTAGTATGCGACGCCAATTTTCTCCAAATGTCACCAACCGTAAAAGCATTCTCTTTGGCATCCCGCATGCCAATTTGTGATATCAAAAGCGTAAACTGGGGCAATTTCCACTTGAGGAACAGGAACTGGAGACGCGGATACTGCTGAGAGAAGGGTAGCGACGGTAAGGATGTTGAAAAGCATATTGAATTATGTAAGAATGAGAAGATCCAAGAACAAAAAGATAAGTCGAGATGAAGGAGTTTGCAAAAAAGATTGATTGAGGTGGTGGAAGTAGGATCAATTAGAAGATGAATTTCGAAAAAAGAAAGACGAAGGTCGAAGACCGATGGCGATGAGAATGTGGTGCAAGAGTTCAATATATGCAATTAACTCCCCTGTTGCGATTTTCCCAACGTCACCATCCTCCTGTGTGATCATCGTAGTTCAGAACTCTATTTTGACAGTGGACTGTGGACACGAGAGGTACTCCATGGGTAAACTCTACCTTGATTGTGGATACTAGGGGCCATATGGATCAAAGGTTTGAAGCTGCTTGGCTGGAACGATGTTTGCGATTTTTGTTCTACGGCAATGGCCGCACGGGGTCCCTAATCTTTATACATTTTATATAGCTTCTAAGTCCGTATTTTTATCTTTTAAGATTGTTAAAAAGATCATTCCGTCCCATTGTGGCCTATTTATAGCAATCTACTTGTAGCTATTTTAGCGTGGCATTGACGGGGTTGTGCCGGTAAAATTTCTTTATGGCCAGCAATAAATACGAGACAATGCAGAACTTGACTATCAACTGTCAAGAAGAGAAATCCATACGAAAGTCTTTTGAGGAATATACGGCCCGGTTTGTGGAAAAAGACCTCCTCGTTAATATGGAAGTGGTTGGCCCCGAAAGTATGTGTTTCTGCCGTGCTCCGTAAGCTGCTCACAAACTTGTGCGATGCTAAAAATAAAGACACCCTGTTTCATCACTCCACTTTCTTTTGATCTGCGAACCATCGCGACTCATTACAGGACTTCAAAGTGTTAAATTTACTTTGCTAAAGCAATAAACTTAATCAATATACTTCTTGGCGCGTAGTTAAACATTGTTCCATGGCGAGCATTTTGTATACCAATATATATTATCTTCAAACTAAAACATACCTACCCTTTATGAGACTCACCTGTATATAAACAAGATTTAATTTTGTAAATATTAATAGTCAGTGCTCAATGCGCCGTAGGGAGAGCACTGACTATTAAGGTGAGATTTCGGGTACTTTATTGTAAGAGCGTTTCGTGTTTCCGCCTTTTCGGCGGCTTCGGTCAACGCTCTGTGAAAGTGCGTTTGAGTTTAATTCTCGATCGACAACATTCATGTAAATTTACAAGGTTCAATCGAAAAGACGTAAATTCGGAGATATAGCTAGATTGGCTTTATAGGACACATGCTGTCCGACGAGTACTTAGAATTGGAGGAATTTGGTATTTCAGGTATTCCTTCGTTAAACTCTCGCGGTGATTCGATAAATGGTCACTCTGCGAGCTATACAACTTGAGTGATTGAGAAACATCAGGTCACAATGGTTGCATAGATCTATACTCTTAGTTAATCACTTTGATAACTTTGCATCGAGATTGAACTGAGGTTTGGAAGTCGTGGCAACGTGTGTTTTTGCCACACCGAGAGTGTCATATTACCAGCCGAGCTTGAACAGCCTCAGCGAAGCTCAAGCATCCAGCCTTTAGTATACTACTTCTTGGTTGGGTTCAGAGAATTCGAAGAGGGATCTGACATACATGTTGCCAGCATGTTTTTTCCGGTGAGATCTTTGCATGCGGCAATCAAGGATCCCGTATCTAATGTAATGTTTTTATTGAGCGGAAGTAAATTATTATAGGCAATTTTGCGAAATCATAGGGAATCGGCGGATAATATCCTTCTTAGAGACCGAACTCTATGCTACACCATTTCATACCGAGCCAGTGAGCTACTGGTTTTAAGGGGGAGCTCGCTAAGCGAGGTGGTAAGAAATTGTTTGCTTACCAGATTTGGGCATTGTACCACGGAAATCAGAAAAAGAGCCAAAGAATACTTGGCTAAGTTTATTAGTCCTTATAGGTTTTAGTACGAGCTGAGTCGTGTTACGGGGGTCTTGTTTACGAAGCTCAAGGTGTTGTATTACATATTTTCAGAGCGGCATTAGTGTGCACGAGCGCCAAACCTTGATTATTGTCGACCAGGGTTCTAGAATCCCATCTTTTTCATGACAAAAGATGACATGAAATTGCTATATGTTCACTGTTCAGACCATTTCATCACCGGGGGTTTTCAAATCAGCCGGCGTCTCGAAGTAGTAATCAGACGTGGGGGGATCTATCTATAAGCCCATCGACCCCTCAAAATCCGAGTTCAGGCTACTGAAGTCCAACAGGACAGAAGTTCGCCAGTATTGCTGAAGTTATACCCTCTCTACCCATTCATCGACTGACAGTACCAAAGAAGCGACTGGGCGAGGCGAGATGTCACAGAAGAAGAATGCAGATAGTGATACGGTGGACGATGTGTCGAAAACACACGCAATGAATCTCCAATGGAAACAAATAGAGTGACGTACACTGCGATCTCATAAGTCTGGAGCGATCTAAATGCAACGAAAGATATCATAGTGAACGGACAACCTTTTCTAGTCACCGAAAACCTCGTTGACCCCCTTGAAAGATTTTCTCCACAACTTTTTGACGAGAATCTCCCTTTTTGGTTGATACAGTTTGTATCAATTATCACGAAATCGACGAGAGAAGATCACAAGTATTCTGATGAGTCCAATCTATACTGATTGTGGATCTAGCCTGGGTAGGCCCGGAAAAGGAGCATACCTCTGAAGCTATTCATATTCGCAGAAGGCTTGCTGAATGGAATCGCAAATTCCGGATACCGTGGTTGGAGGTCTTTTCAAATCCTGCAGGAGCATATGGACAGTATTATTGTAGGAACATCGACTTCAACCATTCCTGCCTTACTGATAGCCAGGGAACACTCATTTGAGGACCTTTTTGGATCACCTTTTTGGATACGGACTTGGATTTCTCAAGAACCTGTCCTGTCCCCCAAGGTTTTCTTGTTCTGCGGGCGAAATAATTTTTCTTTGCAAGACAGAGGAAATTGGGATTTGGATTTTTGGGCTTCCCACCCCTTGTACAGGCCCCAAAGACAAGCAAATACTGCCTGAATTTCCCAAATTCCAAGCTATCTTTCGTTTGATTCTTAGCGCTATGGACCTATAACAACATCATCCCATTGGCTCACACATGCTTTCTACGGGCATTGAGTTGGTTGGGGAATTCTTCCGACAGGTGGATAGCTTATTGGAGCTTCCAGGTGGATCATAAGATCCAGAATTCGAACTGTTTGAATGCAGCCACAACTACATTAAATGGCGGCTAGGCGTGAAAGGGGATGAGACCATCGGCTCGGAACTGACCCCAGAGGCCATTTTTAATGTCAAGGAAAGAAAGCATCTCATGACCTCCAGACATTCTTATACAATTGAGGGTCACCTCGGATATGAATTACAAGAAATTGGGGAGGGGGGCATGTTTTGTGTTTTAGATGGATGTCAGGTCCCAGTTCTACTTAAGGAAAAATGGAGACTATTTCATTTTCGTCTCAGTGTGTTTTATGCTTGGACTGAGTCACTGATTACTGATCCTATTTTCAACTTTAACTGCATCTTAGCGACATCCTATTTCCGGGTAAAATGGTATGAATGAAGCTCCACGATTTCTTTCATATTGGGGGACTCTAAGCCGCTGTCACAGCCTTTTCTGTAACGCCGTTAATTCATCAAACCCCTTGGTAAGAAATGTAAAGGGACATACCGGTGCAGTATTTCATTTAAAGGGTAAAACCTTGAGTCCAACGATAGGCGACTTCTCCCTCCTGAAGCCTGCGACCGTGGAAAATAATAAGTGTAGATGTTTGTATTTTTATTGGGTCAGGTTCCTGCGGGGTATCTATCCTGTATGAGATGACTAAGAACAATATTGGGGGCTATTTCCAATAACAGTACAGTACATGTATTTACCCCTGTCACAACAATAGAGTCCTGTCCCCCCCTTCAAAAGGTTCCAACCACTTTGGCAACCAAACCATGTTTTATAATTTAACTGAAGTTACCAATCATACCTAACTTAAGGTCCCCGCGATACTCTACCCAATTCTACCACGACGATGACGAGTGGCACTCTAGAAGCGCGTTTCGGAAACCTATCACTCAACGAAAACAAGAAAGATCGTGCCCGTTTGGTGAAGAAGCCAATTCCAAATGTTAAGGTATGTTTGTTTTCCACATTGAAGGACGCTTGCATGTGCTGAAGTACACCTTTTACACTTCCACATCTAATGTACGCGCAGACTAGTAGCACACGATTACCTCAAAGCCCTAGCCGATCGAATTACCTACTGAAATTTGCACTAAAGAACTCACCTTTCCGACAACAGCCATCTGTCGAATCTCCGTCTCCGAAAATATCCAATGATCCAATTGACGCTGGACAAAAGCCTAGCTCAGCGACTCCAAAACAATTCCATCTTGGCATGTTCGAAATTGGACGGCCTCTCGGGAAAGGAAAATTTGGCCGTGTATATTTGGCGAGAGAACGTCGGAGTGGTTTTGTTTGCGCACTGAAAGTTCTTTACAAGAACGAGATCAGGAAGGGGGGAGTTGAGAAGCAAGTTCGACGCGAGATTGAGATTCAATCTCACCTTAAACATCCCAATATACTTCAGTTATACGGGCATTTCCACGATAGCAGGAGGATATTTTTGATCTTGGAGTTTGCCGGCAAGGGAGAACTCTATAAGCATCTGACGCGTGCGGGACGATTTCCGGAATGGAAAGCTGCTCAGTATATCGCTCAAATGGCGTTGGCATTGCAACACTGTCATAAAAAGCATGTAATGCATCGGGATATCAAACCAGAGAATATTCTTGTCGGTATTCACGGTGAACTCAAGATTGCCGGTATATTGCTCCATTCCTGTCTCACTTCATGTTACCGACTCTTCGCTGCCCAATGCATGACTGGGGCCAATTATATCTTGCAAAGGGTCTCTCTTGCGTTTATGACCAACCTACCTTTTGACCAAGAGATGTATTAATATTTGATAGATTTTGGTTGGAGTGTTCATGCGCCGAGCAACAGGCGAAGAACCATGTGTGGAACTTTAGATTATCTGCCACCCGAGATTGTTCGAGAGCAATGGTATAACGACAAAGTGGACTTGTGGAGTCTGGGGGTATTGATGTATGAGTTCATTGTAGGTTCTGCGCCATTTGAGGACGAAATTTCCCGCACCAACAGGAGAATTGTGCGTTGTGAATACACCATACCAAACTTCGTCTCAAACGAAGCCAAAGATCTGATTACGAAAGTGAGTCATCTCCCAAAGATCTGACTCATCGGTCTGTGTCTAAACTTCACAGCTTCTGGTACTGGACCCTGAAAAGCGCACCACGCTCGAGGAGGTTCAAGAACACCCTTGGATAATCAAGCATTGTGTGGAAGGTGTTGGGACATCAACGTGAAATAGAACGGAGCATATAAGCGTTTGTAGCGTAGCTATTTATATTCTCTTCTCTAAGCAATTCGACACCATTGTATCGACTGTTTGCTTCACTGCCGACTAATTTATGAGTACTTAGTGTTACCAACAGAAAGAGAGCGAGCTAACATGAAGAATACTGAAAATGGCAGCGTATAACGTTGAGCCAAAGCGAGTAATGAAGTGAATCTTTCAGTCATGGTTGTAATTATCCGGCGCCAGGGGTTTAAGAGACATTTTGCTGGTATACCATTATTATATAACCCTCAACCTATCAGCTCAAGATACCTTTTAGTCAAATGCAGAGAGTCGAAAGGTATAAGACCATAACGACAAATTATTTTGGTTCCCCATTCCCCCAAATTGGGCTCTTCTTCACAATAGTGGAAAAACCATACAACAAAATTACAGGTCATCGAAGATTGACTATAGTTTCCATATGTCTGCTCAGAGTCGACCCATAATTTCCATACATTTCTTTAGTTTAAGTAGGGTATACAATCTGCCTTCTAACCGATGATTTTCAAGGTACTAATTCCGTTGCCATTTGCATCCCTATGAGAGATACCTAAGTAATAATGAAGGTATTTGTTTACTTCGATTATTTGGAATACGAATAGAAACAATTCCTGGGCTATCAAAGTGATTGGACCACTTCCTCTAGTGAGTTTGTGCTGCTGTGTTCCCTTCCTTGGCTTATATCAATACATGTCTGGTTCTCAGGCTTTTAGTCTTTCCATTTCCAGAATCAGTTAGCTACTGAAGTCTATGTGATCTGTTCCTACAGCAGAGGTAGTTGACCAATAGATCAATTAGATTTAGTTGGATATTGGCGTCACAGGCCACGAGCATACAAATCAGCCAATGGAGAAGTATTTACCCCAGGTTGCATAGCTCCAAGAAAGTTGACTATTTTGAGGATTTCGCAGAGCAATAGTTAGCACCCTCGCTTAACTCTATCGTTCGCCTCATCAAGCTAGAATAGTTGATTATCTACCTGATCATAGCTTTGTTCTCAACAAACTTTGTGACTAAGTGAATATTCATATTTTGTACGTTGGTTTATGTTACTAACCATAAAGAAGTGATATTAGAAGGGTTGAAGAACAAAATGAACATTTGGTGCATTTGAACTCCCCCACTTAAATTTAACGTAACACCCTTAGGATGGTAGGGTGGGTAGTGGCACCCAGTTGGTACAGTTCCATTTCAATATGAATATAACGCTTCAGTTTACTCTGATTGGGCAATGGAACAAATTGATCATGTTTTTCATATATCACAAACCCAGCGCTTTACTTCAATGTTTCACTTGCTTCCACCTACCAGACCCTTGTAGTAGACAGAAAATGTTGAAGTGAACCCTTCTGTTGTTAATCTGCTTTTCTTGAATTACATACAAGCAATTATCCCAGATTAAACAGAACAATAACTTCAATTATCTTGAAACTTTCCGTAATTTCATTTCAATTCCCTACAGCTAATAAACCTACAAAATGCTTTCTAACAAGTTACGCTAATTCACTTTTCATCCTAACTTCCCCCACAATCGGAACAACTCCGGCCCTATTCATCCCGCGCAAAACCCCACTCGCCAACTCCACCGCCACCACAAATCCAAAAAAGGGCTACAAATATTTTAATAAGCACCATCCTCACATGAATGAGTCTAATCTAGAATCTTCTGGAATAGGGACTGCTGGCGCAACGGCAGCGCGTCCGCCTCCAGAGCGGAAGGTTATCCGTTCAAATCGGGTGTGGTTCAAGACCTCGCAATAAAACTACTTTATTGTCTGATATTTTTTGTTCGTTTTTTGTTATTTATTAGTAAAGGTGTCCTGGGTAATTTGAGTTTAGGGAACAAAGGATCTCTTTTGAGAGAAAGGGAAGGATTTTTGTTAGTGTGTGATGTATGACTTTGTGGGATTAAGGTTAGTGGGGGAAATGGATTAAGTGGAGAAGTTAGGCGAGGTGTGGGGTTGTGATTTGATGTGAACCGTAGGGGCTTGTTGTTAGAGAAGAAAGGATGGATGGAATTACAAAAGAGCGAATGAATAAGAATCCTTGGTTCGTTTGTCTGTTCTTCAGTCAAGATTCACTTGGTCGTGAATTTTCACAGTGGGGACTTGGAATAGGAAGAATCTAACGCTAGAGTTACTTCACTTGAAAGCAGTTTACTATCTGGAGGGATTAAAGAGGATGAAACATAGAAATAAAGTATTAGCCAAGTATTCGCAAACTTTATAATAGTTACCAAAAGAAATTTATAAACAAATAATAGTAATCAATCTAGTAATCAAGTTAACTGTTTCGGGCTTCTTTTCAAAGCGACCAAGGAGTCAAAACCAGGCAATTGATAGTATAGGAAATATCTAGAACCAAAATTACCACTTATCTGAATTGTATGATATATTAGTTAATCTTGATAATCTAAACGTAAGTATCTAAGCACCTCAAGTCTTACGCGAATATCGCCGTGACTAGGTAGATACAAATGTATAACTTCGTACCTATTATCCTTGGTTTTCCAGAGACTCTCAGGCCAAGAAAGTCGTAGATGCCTAGGGAGGTACTTGGAAGGGAACAGTTTCCGGACTGGATCATCCCTCTACTCACACAGCACATTCTCCAGTCCTGGTTCCATTCTCCTCAACCACTGGCTCACCATAGGTACAAGATAATAGTCGATGTTTTCATTGCCCCATTGAACAGTTTCGTAACCGCAACAACCATCGTCACCCAACTTGGTGTCCCAAAATCCAAGACAGAGTTAAGTGAAATTCCACTATTAATACACCAATTAGTCTTATTTTCCCAAGCAGCACATGACAAAAGTGACCTACCGAGGTGCCTAAACAACCTCAAGGACGCCAAAATCGTCGCAGCAGTAACAACCTTAGTACCTACCTACCTACCTATAGATATAGGTAGCATATCTACACCAACACCCTACAATCCCACTTGCCACCAATCTCAGGTAGAAAAACCAACAACCAAAGCCATAACTCCTGCTTTTGACATTCCGCTCTTACGATTCCGCAGACGCACCTTTCAACCATGGATTCATAACTTCAATACGTACAGCAACGACTTGGCTCCCAAATTGGAAACCCAAACTTACCCAGGTAGGTAGGTACGTAGGTAGGTACCTTAGAGGAAAACCCCCATATATAAAACAGTAGTAATATAGTTGTAATATAGGTGTACTTTATAACCGTTGTGGTTTTGCGCTCTGTGCCATGCCGTTGTGATACAGCTGTATTTTGTGGTAGGCATTATGTGTAACTGTTGCAAGCTTTGTAACCGTCTACTTTTACAACCGTTGTAACTTTTATAACCGTTGCAAAATTTTATAACCATTACAAAATTTTATAACCATTACAAAATTTTATAACCATTACAAAATTTTATAACCGTTGTACGCCGTACTTGTTGTAAAGTTTATAACGGATAAAAATATTAATAGTTGTTTTGCTTATAACTAGCAATATTTAGATTCGTTGTAAGCTTTATAATCATTCTATTATTTTATAACCGCTGTGTAACCGTTGTATAAGTATAACCGTTGCGTCTTTTATAACTAGCAATATTTAGATTCGTTGTAAGCTTTATAATCATTCTATTATTTTATAACCGCTGTGTAACCGTTGTATAAGTATAACCGTTGCGTATTTTATAACTGGCTATATCTATATACCTAGGTAGGCATACGGCGCTAAGACTCGGAATACCCTTACTTAAGGAAGGTATACCTACCTGCCTACCTAACAGGGTACCTAAAGTCTTCTAGTAGGTACGCAAGCTGTACAACGTGTGTACAAGTCTAGCTAGGGAGCGTATATATAGCGCGTAAGGGCACTTTATCTAAATCGATCGAATCTACTACTTATATAATTATAGCGTTATTGTCTGTAGTCTCCTATACTTCCGAGTACTTATATATAGACTACCGAGGAATATCTATAGGGGTCCTAAATCCTAGGACTTTTGTAACCGTTACGTAACCGTTATATAACTGTTATGTTTTTAACAACTATTATATTATTTATAACTATTATAGAACTATCTATACCCTTAACTATCCTACCTCCTATAATAGCTACGTCTTATAACTAGCTAGGCTAAGATAATAGTCTTATATTAAGCTAGTTACGCTCTTTACGCTAGTTATAGGGATTAACTAGTATACTACAATTAATTAAGATAACTATCTTAATCGCTAACTAGTTATAACTTATAATAGTATTTGTTAGTTTAACTTTATTATCAAATATAAGTAAGGTATAATATAGGAAGAGGCTAAACCCTAGTATTAGACTATTCCTATTATTAATATGTACTAAGTTAAAGGTATAGAAGTTATATTACTATACTATAGGTAGGACTGACCTAGTTAGATAGTCTATACTACTAAGTATATTTACTTAGATATTATAGTAATACTAGGCTTACTTTAAAAGAAGTCAAACACTTAGTATAAATAACTAATTATCTAAAGTCCTTAACTAATTAAATCTATTAATTTCTCTCTTAATATTAATTAAGTCTATTAATTAATACCTTATAATTTATAAATCTATCTAAATCTATTAATTCTCTATATTATTATTATTTTATCCTTTACTAATATCCTTATATTTAACCTACTCTTTAACTATAATCTGAATCTTATTTATATTAATAAGTATAACTAATGCCTAGTAGAGCTTTAATTTCGTTATTATATTAGTAGAATTCGTAGTTCCTTTAATCTAAAGGATCTTATAGATTTTATATTATTTATACGCCTAGTATAATACTATTATTTTAATTATAAGACGCTTCTCTTTTGTTATACTAAGTTTTATTAAGTATTTATATATTAACTTAGAATCTATATAAATCGTTAATTTAAGTATTTCACTTAGAATAGCCTCTTGCGTTAATTTAATAACCTCTACTATATTAAACCAGCTACTTAAAGTATATAACTCGGATACTAATACGCTTTATATAATTCGTTTATATTTTA